TGTGTGTGTGTGTGTGTGTGTGTGTATATATATATATATATATATATAATTTATTTTATTTTATTTTAATTTTTTGGTCTTTTTGAGACAGGGTCTCCCTGTAGCCCCAGGTGACCTGGAACTCACTATGTAGACCAGGCTGGTCTCGAACTCACAGAGATCTGCCTGCCTCTGCCTCCCAAGTGCTGGGATTAAAGGCATGCACCAGCATGCCTGGCCCTGTATATTTTTTATGTAACCTGCTTCAAGTATTTCTGGAAAAATGTGTTAAAAGGTCTTATTTTGTCTCACATTTTCAGAGGCTTGTCTGTCCATGATTACTTGACCCTGTGTCCCTATGGTGAGGCAGCACTTCACGGCAGGGGTGCATTGTAGAATTGCTCACTGCCAGGGAGCAAAAGAAGAGACCAGAACCCTATAATCCCTTTATGCCTGTCCCTAATCCAATGGCCTAAAGACCACATATTTGCCACCCTGAAGGTTTCACCATCTCCCAATAGTGCCACCTTGAAGACTAGTCTTTAACAGATGGATTGCTGGGGGACATTTAAGATCCAAACAATAGTAGAAATAGAAAAGGTGAAAATGGCAGTCATTTCTGAAACCACATCATAAAAAGACATTTGTTCTTGTTCTCTCTCCTCTACCACCACCACCACCACCATCATCATCATCATCGTCGTCGTCATCATCATCATCGTCATCATCATCGTCACCAATCATCATCATCTACTCTGAGGAAAGTTAGCTGCTACATAGGAACTCATGTAGCCTATGGAGAGGCCCATATCGAGAAACTGAGTTGTCCTGTTAATTGCCAAAGAGATTTCAGCCTCTAGGCATCTTAGAAATGGCTCCTTCTACCTGGCACCAACTCTAGCTATTTATGACTGCAGCTCCTGACATCCTCTCTGCAACCACATGTGAGACTCTGACTCACAGCTAAGCTGCTCCTGGATCCTGACTCTCAGGAACTCTGTGGAAAGAAATGTTTCTTTTTTCCTTTTGCTTTTTTGAGATAGGATCTCATTATGTAGCCCTGGCTGCCCTGGAACTCAATATATAGATCAGGCTGGGCTGGAACTCACAGAGATCTGCCTGGCTCTGCCTTCCAAGTGCTGAGATTAAAGGCATGCACCACCACACTTGGCCTATGTTTATGGTTTAAATCCTGTATGTTTTAGGGTAATTTGTTGCATAGTAGTAGATAATAAACACTGAGGGTTGAAAGATAAAATGGAGGAAACCTGTCAACAAGTAGTGATAAAAAGAAAATGTATAGAAAGAATAAGTTAGAAGATATTTTATAACTTACAAATGGAGTTGGAGAAGCTGAGCATGCCTTGGTGTCCTAAGTGCTGGGATTACAATTATGAGTCAACACAACTGGATTCATATGTCCATATCTTCAAGTCTGTTACATATGTATGGTGTATGCACATGTATGTAAATGTGTGTGGTGCATTTGCATGTGGATGTGAGGGTGAAGGCCTGAGGTCGGGTCTCCTCTATTGCTTTCCACCTTGGTTTTCTAAGACAGGGTTTCTCAGTGAACCCGGACTTCATTTTAGTTATACTGGCTGGCTAGTAGCACTTGGGCTCTGCCTGTCCCCATACTACCCAGTGCTGGGCTATGGGTGTGCACTGCCTTGGCTGACCTCTTTTGTAGGTGCTGAGGGTCTGAATTCAGGTTCTCATGCATAGCAAACACTTTAGCCACTGAGCCAGCCTGTCCATTTCTTAAGGGGGTGCCTGGAAGCTGTAGAATTGGAGCTGGGGCAAGCAAGCCCTGAGTAGGAGGAACATATTCAAAGTCCAGTCTTTCCTCGAGCCTTAGATTCTATCTAGGTCACCAATTTGACCAAGGCTCTGGCTTCTGATGCTATAATCCCGGAATGAGAAAATTCAAGTAGACAGAGGGTGTCAGAATACTTCTCTGTCATCTCATAGAGGACTCTTGAGTTTTATAAAGTGCAGTCTACGTGTGCTATGAAAAGAAATGAATCAGAAATCATTTCCAGGTCTTTCTTTGGATTAGTGCCAAGCTTCTGTTCATCAGTTTTGTTTCATTTTGAGTTTTGGGGGGTGGTGGTAGTGCTAGGGATTGAACAGCAGGCCTTGAGCATGTTGGTAACTTCCTTACCACTAAGCCACACTTCCAGCCCTCAACAGTATAAGAAACTAACTGGGTAGGAAAACCCCAGGCTAGGTGCATATTTTGTTCCTGGTGAGGCAGCCGCATGGAGTAAGGGCAAGAAAGGTGGAAGCAACCAGGAGAGGCTACTGTTGGCCTGGAGAAAGGGAGACTTGGAAGTTTCCTAAAGGATAGACTTTTCTGCTGGAGGATGCAGAAGAGTTCATCTTTTATATTTGAAAACAAGTATATTCTCATGGCCTGTCTCTAAGACCTAGTACAGTGGGGGCATCAGGGACGAGTGCTGGAAGGCTACTAAGGGACTTCTAGGGTGTATTAGGAATTCTTTGTGTACGTCTTTCCTGGAAGCTGGAGAGTAAAACAGAACACTAGTGGAGTTAGAAAGAGGACAGTGAGTGAGTGCGCAGTGGAGCCTTGTATAAGACTGTCCCTCCCTGTCCTTGCTTTGTGCTTTATGCTTCCCTGGTCATGCCTTCCCTCCATTCTTAATTTCCTTCGCATGTTGTCATTCTACCTGAAGAACCTTTTCCTCCATTTCTGTGCTTTCAATGTATCGTTCAAGTCCTAAATCAATTGTCACCACCTACAAACCTCCCCTAACTTCCAGTTTCATAGTCATTCGAAACCATTTATTCATTCAGTTACCCTAAAAATATTTATTAAACCTCTATTGTGTATGAAGTATGGATGAGCATTGGGAATATAATACAGATCAAGTATTTACTCACTGCCTACTAAAAAATTCAACGGTTCCCTATGAAATTAAAATGCTTGGCAAGGTTAGCAGCTTCCTCGATTAGTTGGCTTTTGCCTTGTTTCTAGGTTTCCTAGAACCTACCATATCCTTCACGTGTCCCCAGTTCCTTGGAACTCACTTAATACGGCTCTCTCTAGGTCTCTGTTCCTTTCTCGGTGCCAGTTCCCTTCTGTGTACTTGACAAACTTCAATCGTCTTTTCACACTGTTCTTGAAATATCTCTTCTGTAAAGTCTTCTCTAAAGGCTCCTCCCATCCATATTCCAAACCCAGTAGGATCAGTCCCTCGTAGTCAACAGACCGTATTGAATTGTATACCGTATTACAATTTTTGTAAGATTACTTATCCTCCTCATCAGATCGTCAGCTACTTTATAGTAAGAGGCCTTATTCTATCCATCCTTTTACCCTCAGTCATCGACATAAAACCTGGCACATAGTTGGTGCTTAATTAATGCTGGCTAGATGAGTTAGATTTATTTGGCTGAACAAGTTGTATGTCTTACTAAGGATATTAAATAACAGAGAAATGAAACTAAATGGCTACTGTCCCTGCTGCATAATTTTAACTATGCTAATAGTGGGAAATGGAAGATCAATCTCTAACCCATGGTAGGAAATGACTAGAAAGCAGCTAAGGGGTGTCTAGGAAAAGGCCTGGCCCTGCTACCCAGCTACTCTAAATTCCCCTTACTTGTTTCTTCAGTTGTGACTCTTTTCTTAGTCCTGAATGAATGTTGATATCCCATTAGATACAAACTGAAGAAAGCCATCTCAGCTCCTCCTCTTCGGAATGTCTACACTGGAGCACTGGGCTCTGGTAACTATGGTAATGTATTGAAGAATTTCCTTTGTCTAATGAGGTGCAGGATTTATGGGTTTACCATGGAGCTGAAATGGGACTGAGCTAAATAATTTCAAGAAAATGGAGGAATTATGTATCATTACTCTTTTTTCTTTTTCTTCCTTTAAATTTTTATAAAATTTTTTTATTGGTCTTTTTGAGACAGGGTCTCTCTGTAGGCCCAGAGGGCCTGGAACTCCCTATGTAGGGAAACAGGCTGACCCTGTTTCAAAAAAACAAAACAAAACAAAAAACCACACAAACAAATGAACGAAAATGGCAATGACAATATCTCATTTATGAAAATTAAATATGCAGATCTCCTTGCTCAGATTTAGCATGAAATCTTTTTTTTTCTTTCTTTTTTCCTTTTTTTTTTTGTTTGTCTTTTTGAGACAGGGTCTCCCTGTAGCCCCAGCTGTCCTGGAACTCACTATGTAGACCAGGCTGGCCTTGAACTCACAAAGATACGCCTGCCTCTGCCTCTCAAGTGTTGGGATTAAAGGCATGCACCACCATGCCCAGCCTCTTTTTTCCCTTTTTGAGAAAGGGTCTCACATATCCCAAGCTGCTCTTGAACTCACTATGTAGCTGAGGATGACCTTGAATTTCTCCTGCTTCCACCTCTAGAGTGCCAGGCATGTACCATCCCAACTAATTTTGCTGGGGATTGAACCCAGGGCTTTGTATGTGCTAAGTAAGCACTCTACTACCTGTGCTACATCCCCAGTCTTCAAACCTCAAGTAGTATTTACTCATTTGTTTATTTTAAAAAGCTTATTATTATTATTATTATTGTCTTTTTGAAGCAGGGTCTCCCTGTAGCTCCAGCTGTCCTGGAACTCACTATGTAGACCAGGCTGGCCTTGAACTCACAGAGATCTGCCTGCCTCTGCCTCCCAAGTGCTGGGACTATTTTTTGCATATGAGTGTTTTTCCCACTTGTATGTAGGTGCATCAGTGCGTGCAATGACCAGAGAGACCAGGAGACAGTGTTGGATGCCCTGGAGCAGGAGGTTACTGATGGTTGTTAGCCACCATGTGAGTGCTGGGACCTGGGTCCTCTGCTAGAAGTCACTGCTTTTAACCACTGAGCCATTTCTCCAGCCCCTCATTTGAGACACGTTTTACCATGTAGCTCAGGCTGGCCTAGAATTTATTATATAGTCCAGGCTTTGCCTCAAACTCTGGATCTTCCTGCCTCAGTTTTCTGAGTGCTGTGATTACAGGAATGAGTCACCATGCCCAACTAACCCCAGTACTTAAATCTGAATAGGATACTTCTAATGAATCTGCTTCATCAGTACTGTGGCATCAGTGCTAACTTGTGACACTATGCTAAAACTTCATTCATTTGCAAATTGCTTAAGTCACTATTAAGATGCATTATCTAGCCCTGGGTGTGGTAGTGTTTATCTTTAATCCCAGAACTCAGGAGGCAGAGGCAGGTGGATTTCTGTGAGATTGAGGCCAGCCTGGTCTACATAGCCAGTTCCAGGCCAGCTCAGGCTACAGGAAAGTCCTGTCTCAAAAAGACCAAAAAAGAAAAATTATCTGGAGCTGGGGCTAGAGCTCCGTGATAGAATACTTGCCTGGCATGTACAAGATCTTGAGTTCAATCCCCAGAATCAAAAAAAGAATGAGATTGTTTAAACTTATAATCACATTAAAAATAAAAGTAGGGGCTGGAGAGATGGCTTAGTGGTTATAAGAACACTGACCGTTCTTGCAGAGGACCCAGGTTAGATTCCCAGAACCCACATGGCAGCTACAAACCGTCCTTATCTCCAGTTCCAGGGGAATCCGAAGCGCTCTTCTGATCTCTGCAGGATTGCACAATATGGGTGCACTCACATACATGCAGGCAATTACACTCATACACATAAAAAAGAAAATTAAAATTATAAAAAAATAAAAATAAAAGTATTTTTTTGGCCTTTTTGAGACAGGGTCTCCTTGTAGCCCCAGCTGGCCTGGCATGTGCTATGTAGACCTGGCTGGCCTAGAACTCACAGATTTCAGCCTGCTTCTGCCTCCTGAGTGCTGGGATTAAAGGCATGTGTCACCACGCTTGGCCTTAATTATTTTATTGTTATCTAAAGTCATAGGTTTGCTTTAATTCCATCTGATAGTTTGTGCTTTTTGTCTTTTTGAGACAGGGTCTCCTTGTAGCCCCAGCTGTCCTGGAACTCATTATGTAGACCAGGCTGGCCTCGAACTCACAAAGATCCACCTGCCTCTGCCTCCCAAGTACTGGGATTAAAGGCGTGTGCCACCACACCCAGCCAAGTCTGTGCTTTTTATTTTTTTCTTTGGGAGTTTCTGTGAGTTTGGGAGTTTCAAGCCAGCACACTCTTTTCTTAGTCATGCTCAACAAAAGTGTCTTTTTCCTGTTAGGACTTCTGACTCTGGCAGTCCATTTTCTTTCTCTAGTTTTCATCTTTCTCCTTATAGTACCCATTTGTTCTTGTATATTGTCTACAATTCCATTAGTCTTTAGCACACTACTCAGTTGTTTTTGTATGGGACAAGATCTCACTATGGAGCCCAAGCTGGCTTGGAACTCACAGAGATCTGCCCCCCCTTGTGGCAGGCATTTGTAATCTCACTGCTGGGAAGGCACAGACACGTGGGTCCCTCTGTTTCAGTGAGAGACTGTCTCAAAAGAAGTAGAGAGTGATTGAGGAAGACACCAGATTGGCCTGCCTACACACACACACACACACACACACACGCGCACACACACACAAACACACATGCACACACACACACACAAACACGCACACACACAAACACATGCACACATATAACAAAATATTTAGCAATAATTGTAACACTTTATTACTTTCAAATAATTACATTTTCTTAAACATTTTAATTTATTTTTAATATGTATGTTTTGCCAGAAGAGGGTGTCAGATTCCCTGGAACTGAAGTTACAGACTGTTGTTAGCTGCCATGTGGGTGCTGGGAACTGAATTCAGGAACTCTGAATGACTGGTCAGTGTTCTTAACCCCTGAGCTATCTCTCCAACCCATATGTGTGTGTGTATGTACATTTTTTTTTTTTAAGACAACATCTCACTATGTAGCCCTGGCTGACCTGGAACTTACTATGTATAGGCTGGCTTCAAACTCCTAGAGATCCACCTGCCTCTGCCTCCCTAGTGCTGGGATTAAAGGCCTGTACCACCATACCTAGCCCTGTGTATTAGGGTTCTCCAAAGAAACAGAACTGGTAGAATGAATATATATGTATAGAAATTTATCAGCTTAGCTCACAGGATAGAGTCCAAGTGACTGCACCACACTGGAAAGGTGCAGTCAATGACTGCACCACACTGGAGAGGCTGAGAATCCATAGTTGCTTAGTCCACGAAGCTGGATGTCTCAGTAGTCCCAATTTGGCACTGAAGGTCTTGACAAATTCCAAAAGATCAGCTAGTTTTCAGTCTACAGCAGGAAGACAAACTCACTAGCGAGAGAGAAGGTAAGCAGCAAGAAGCCAGGCGGTCTTCTCTGTCATGGTGTTTTATACAGCTGCCATCAGAAGGTAACACCCACATTCAGGGCGTGTCTTCCAGCTTCAGATGATCCAATCAAGAAGATCTCTCTCATTTCAGTTAATCCCAGATCCAGTCAAATTGACACCCAGGATTAGCCATCACACCCCGTATAGCTTATATTTTATAGAATAGACACAAAGCTAGTTAGCCCTGGTGGAACAAGCCAAAAGCTAAGAGGATGGCAAGTTCAATGCCTGCCTGGGCTACAAAGTGAATTCAAGACCAACTGAGCAAACTTAAAATTAAGGTGCCAGAGTGATGGTTCAGTGGTTAAAGTTACTGGCTGCTCTTTCAGAGGACTCGGGTTCAGTTCCCAGTACCCATCTGGAGGCTAACAAGTCTGTAACTCCAGGTGTAGGGGACCCAACACCATCTTCTGACCTCCTCAGGCACTGCATGACATAGGTGCACTTACATACATGCAGGCAATACACTCATAACACATAAAATAAAAATCCAAACAGCCGGGGGTGATGATGCATGCCTTTAATCCCAGCACTTGGGAGGCAGAGGCAGGCAGATCTTTGTGTTTGAGGCCAGCCTGGTCTACATAGTGAGTTCCAGGATAGCTGGGGCTACAGGGAGACCCTGTCTCAAAAAACCAAAAAAAAAAAAAAAAAAAATCCAAATAAAAATTAAAAAGAGGGCTGTAGCATAAGCCCAAGGTTCCAGGTTCAATGTTCAGAAGGTAAGGAATGGGAGGGCAGACAGAAGGGGGTTAATATCTTGCCCAGGTTGAAAAGTTATTAGATATGGGAGCTGGAATACGATAGAACCCTTGAATTTAGGAATTTTCCACGTGAGGGGAGGTGTTGGAAATTTCCGCACTGAGGAGCAGTTTTAGTTCATCCATTTGCAGATACTAGGATAGTTTATTGCTTCTGTGCCAATTAAATGTGTTTAGTGTGCTTACGTGTGTGCATACTCGTGCACGTGTGTGGAGGTCAGAGGAAAACTAGGGGGAAATTAGTTTTCTCCCTCCAGTGTCCCAGGGATCAAACTTAGGTCACCAGGCTTGGTAGCTCGCTGCTCTACCCACTGAGCAATCTAGAGGGATCCCCCCCATCATTTCTCATAACGGAAGTCCCAAACGACGTAGGTGAAGTAAAAAAGCAGAGACCCAAATCTTAGAGCTCAACTGACAACTCTCACCCTGGTGGTGGGGGCAGTGGGGGGTCTCTTGGTGAGCAGAGTTGGGCTGCTCATACCTGTGTGATCTGAGTCTGTGAACACCAGTACTGGAGACAGAGGCTCAGGAAAGTGGACAGAGGAAGGGCAGGCACACAACAGCCTTCCTAGGGTAGGTCCAGGAGCGTGTCCAGGAGCGTGTCCAGGAGCGTGTCCAGCACGCAAAGCGTCTCCTGATCTTTGCTCTATAGTTGCTCTCTCGGGTGAGGGTTTCCTAGGAATTATTGGCTTGCTTTAGTGCCTGCCACACCCTTCGAACCCAGCTGAACAGGACTTGGTCCTCGCGCATGCATTTGGCCACTGTAGTTTTCACCAATCGGCAGGGGAGAAGGGCTCACGACCTAAAAGAAACGGTGTTTAAGATAGTACTGTTCCCGACGGGCGTGGTGGCGCAGGCCTTTAATCCCAGCACTCTGAGTTCGAGGCCAGCCTGGTCTACACAGCGAGTTCCAGGCTGGATGGGGCTACAAGGAGACCCTGTCTCAAAAAGACCAAAAAATAAAATAAAATAGCAAAATTAAAAAAAATATATAGTACTGTTCTTGGGCCATGTAAACATTAATGATATTAATTTCATTTTATTCCCTCAAATTGGTAATCAGTGCGCAAACGAAGGCACGGCCACTTGGCATTACTAACAACCTGGAAGCTGCTTTTGTTCCGCCATGCGACCGGCCATTCGCTGTCTTTTTACATTTTTCGGTTTTTTGACAGTCTGATCTACTTCCTCTGCCGGCTGGGCACCAAAGTTCTCGGAGACGGTTCAGCCCGGGCGGAAGCCACGGCGGCCACGGGGCGCTCGGCTGTCGCGGGGAGGAACGAGGTTTCTAAATCACTTCGCAGGCCTTCCCGGTCACGTGGCCCGCGCCTGCGCCCAGCTCGCCGGCTTCTGGTCGCTGACTGGCTGCTTACATGTCTAGCGGGTGCCGGCCGGGATCATCCCGGAAGTAGGCGCTTGGTCCTTCCGCCTTCCTCGGCGGAAGTGCGTCACAGACCGGTGGTCGGCTCTTAGCGGAAGTTCGTCACGTCGCAGTGGTCTCGGCACGGCGGACGTGTGTCGCCGCGCAGGTGACGCTGGGAAGTGCTTGCAGCCGCTGCCGCTGCCTTTTGGTGGAAGCACTATGGAGGGAGAGAGGAAGAGTAACAACAAACGGTGGTACTTTACTCGGGAACAGCTGGAAAACACCCCCTCCCGGCGTTTCGGTATGGACCCCGATAAAGAGCTCTCTTCTCGCCAGCAGGCGGCCAACCTCCTCCAGGACATGGGGCAGCGTCTCAATGTGTATCCTTGAGGCCTAGGCCGTCGGCCGGAGCGCGCCCCGCCATGCTGCGCCCGAGCCTCGGGGACGGCAGGGGTGCGGTGGCGGCAGGCGTGGGACGACTAGTGGGACGGCCCACAATGGCGCTGGCCGAAGCCCCGCGCGCGAGGGAAGTGAGGCGGAGTCGATTTCCCGCTCGCACACCGGTGCCACGGCCTTTCCGGGAAGCCGTACCTTTCCTGGCTTTGTGTTTCAGCGGGTCCTTCCCAGCCCCTCTTCACTGTGTTCCGACCGGTTGCCGTGACTTGAGTCTCCTTTCTGCCAGGTCCAAGGCTCGGGTTAGAGATTTCCCTCTTGATGGCTGCCTCCCAGATTTCGTGTGTAAAAAGGGTTGCGGGAAATTCAGCACCCGAAGGGCTTATAAGGGTGGTCCAGAATTAGTCTAGAATTAGCTTCGATTCCAAACCCGTTGCACCCACTTAGTAGCTGTTGAAGTAACGTGTCACATTCTTGGTCTTTTCGATGCCCATCACAACGCTTGGCAATCAGACGTTCCAATAGCTGTTGTTTCATAGAACGTAACAGGAAGGAAAGATGTCAATGTAGGGATGTAGACAGATGTTTAAATAGTTGCCAAATATTAGGCCCTTGTTACTCAGGGTATTAGTGATTATTTCCTTTATATTTCAAAGATAGGTTAATTTAGTGATTTCCTTCCCCCTTTCTCTCTCTCTCTCTCTCTCTCTCTCTCTCTCTCTCTCTCTTAACGTGCAGTTTGTAGTGAAACTAATACAGTTTTAAAGCTCTCCAGTCTCAGTATGATTTTCCCCCCTTTGGGTGCAGCTTCCATTTATACACCGTTCATTTAAGAGTGGTACTAACTGTAATGTTTGTGTTTTAACGGTGTGCATTGCTTCCAAATAGGTGTCCTCTTTATTGCCATTTGTTTCCTATTGATGCACAGTTTGTTTCCTATGCAGGCTATGTACAATTAAAGCTCCCTTTTTTTAAATAAAATTATTGTTTCAATGTATCCTTACAGCACCTTTTTATGTCTAAGCTTGTTGCTACTATGTCATCTCTAGACAGCAGATGTTGTGAGGTCTGAAAGAGTAAGATGCTGTAAATTTCTCTTGGAGCTGGAGGTTTGCTTAGAGTAAACCGGTGCAAATGAGACTCTGGGTTAGGGGGAGGAGAGCCTTATTTTCTTTGAATGGCTTTCATATTTCCAAGATTCTAGGGGTCATGTCAGATTGCTTTAGAGAAGTAGAACTGAAAAGTTAATTATTGGAGTTTGGAAGGTGAGACAGAGACCCAGGGGCCAGGTAAGGGAGGGCTTTGTAGACCTCCTATAAAGTTATCCTTGGGCAGGCAAGATAACTCAGTGGGTAAAGGCGTTTGCCACCAAGACGGATGACCTGAGTTCTGTCCTTGGGACCCACACAGTGGAAAGATAGAACTAACTCCTGCAAGTTGTTCTTGGACCTCCACTTGTCTGCCATGGTCCCCCTCTACACCCTCATGTAGTTCAAAAAAAGTTGTCCTCAACTAATTGATCATCCTTGCAGAAGGCAAAGCGACAGAAAAGTTTAAGATCTTCAGTACTTTTGTTTTATGTTTCATCTGGTTGTACATATCTTGTTTTGTTTATTCAGTCAGTAAGTTTAGGTTAAGTGCCTGTTAGGTAGAAGGCATTGTGCTGTTAATTGGTTGTTAATAAGGTAGTGAAAGAAAACAAATGTGCTCTTTGAAGAAGTAAATACTGCTTTCACTCAGGACCATCTACTGAATTGGGCCATTTGTTCTTTTGGGAAGGAGATGGAGATTTTATGTTGGGTATCAGTGTGCTTTTGGACCTTAACTTGAGCGCTTCAGGTCACAATTGACCATCAATACTGCTATAGTATACATGCATCGATTCTACATGATTCAGTCTTTTACACAGTTTCATCGAAATGTAAGTATAACTTTTTGTATGGTGTAATCCCTTTGGGTTTGTTTCTAGATGCCTGTGTTGCTACTGAACTGGGATTTGAATTTTAGAATTTAGAGCTGGCCTTTTAAAAATTTTTTCTTTTAAGATGCAAGGTCTTACTAAGTAGCCCTGGCTGGCCTGGAACTTGCTATGTAGACCAGGCTGTCCTTGAAAAAAGTAAGAGATCATCTGCCTCTGCCTCCCTGGATATTTTCTTTGTGTCAGACTGCTCTTCTGAATCCAGCCTTCTAGTTTTCCTATGAAGTGTCTTAGTTTCCTTGTAGGTTTATATATCCATAGTATAAGTAGATTTCTCATAAAGAAATACAACTAACATTTTTTGATTTGGAGCAGTAGCATTATAGGTAAAAAAGACCAAAAAAACCAAAAACCTGTTTGAAGTACAACTTTCTAAGTGTTAGTAAATATGCCAGGAATGTGGCACTTGCCCTTAGTCCCAGTACTTGGGTACTTGGGAGGCAGAGGAGGCAGGCAGAATTGAGGCCAGCTATGTTTACATACTGAGTTCTAGGACAGCTAAGGCTGTCTTAAAAAAAAAAAAAAAAATCAAAGTGCTAAATAATTATATGGCCATAGCAAGACAAATGAATGTAAATTATATTTTCTTTCTTTCTTTTTTTTTTTTTGGTCTTTTTGAGACAGGGTCTCCCTGTAGCCCCAGCTGTCCTGAACTCACTATGTAGACTAGGCTGGCCTTGAACTCACAGAGATCTGCCTGCCTCTGCCTCCCAAGTGCTGGGATTAAAGGTGTGTGCTACCATGCCTGGCTCTCTTTAATTTTTTAAAATTTATTTTTATGTGTATGAGTGTATTGCCTGCATGTGTGTAAGTGCAGCTGTGTCATGCAGTGCCGGTGAAGGACAGAAGAGGGTGTCAGATTCCTTGTAATTGGAGGTACAAATGGTTCTTAGCTTCCATGTGGGTGCTGGGATTCAAACCCAGATCTGCCTGCAAGAATAGCCAGTGCTCTTAACCACTGGACCATCTCTCCAGCCCCCTATTTCTTTTTCTTTTCTTTTTTTTTTTTTTTTTTTTGAGACAGGGTCTCCCTGTAGCCCCAGCTGGTGGCCTAGAACTCACTATGTAGACCAGGCTGGCCTCGAACTCACAGAGATCTGCCTGCCTCTGCCTCCCAATTGCTGGGATTAAAGGTGTGTGCCACCACGTCCAGCTAGTATATTTTATAAAACCTTTGATAAAATTCCAGTGATTGGTTAGAAGGAAAGGTGCATTATGTGATAATGCCTGGGAAAATGACTTTTTAAGATCTTCAAAAAGTAGTAATGGGATAATTTTTTAAAACAAAATTGTAAATACAATAGTGCTGTGTTCAGTCTTACTACCTGAAATGGTCTCAGTTAACATTACAAATGATTTGGAAGTGAATGCATAATAATACCCAGTTGCATGTAAGACTGTATTTTAATAAAATCCCAAGGTAATAGGATAAACTTGATGAACACAGCTTATGGATTTGTAAACCAAATACTTTGCTGTGAGTGCTAGGAATCGAACCCAGATCCTCTGTAAGAGCCATCTCTCCAGTCCTGGGCAATGCATTTTTAAAAAATTTATTTTTTGCAGGGTGTGGTGGCACACACCTTTAATCCCAGCACTTGGGAGGCAGAGGCAGGCCGATGTTTGTGAGTTTGAGGCCAGCCTGGTCTACATAGGGAGTTCCAGGACAGCTGGGGCTACAAGGGGACCCTTTCTCAAAAAAGACAAAAAAAAAAAAACCCACAAAAAATTTATTTTTGTGTATGTGTACGTCTATGTTTGTGAATGTATGCCACATGTATACAGGTGCCTGAGGAGGTCAGGGGAGGGCCTCAAAAGCTGGAGCTATAGGTGAGCCACCTGGTGTGGGTGTTGGAAACCGAGCTTGGGTCCTCTGCAAGAGCAGTACAATCTATCTCTCCAGCCCAGATAGTGTATTTTGATTTCTTTTGTTTAATGCTATAGGAATAAAGTCTGTGATGCTAAATATATTTTCCTTTAATGTAAGAAATTGACAAAATCAGGATGTGGATTAAGTATTACTCATACTGGGTAAGATTATCGAGTCACTTTGACCTTTTTCCCTGCCTTTAGCTACCATACTTCCAATTAGCATTTATTGGTGCTGATAGCACCAAAACAGAAGATGGTGAATGAAGTCCATAGCTGTCTTACTAATTTTGAAGGTTTTCTATGCAACTCAACCCTCTCTACTTTTTTCTCTCCCCCCCCCCTTTCCTGTCTCTCATTTTATTTATTTTATTTTATTTGAGGTAGGATCTCATTATTTAGCCCAGGCTTACCTTGAACTTTCAAGGGCTAGGATTGTGGGCAGGAGGCATATTGCCTGTTAATTCTTCTCTTTTATTGTGGTAAAGATTTGAAATCTAGGGTAAAATATCAAATCAGGTTGTTTAGCCTATGTGTATAGGTTAGTATGTATCTCCTTTTTATCTTTTAAATTATATGTGTTCTTATTACTTATATGTTAACCGTAGCTTTTTTCTTTTTCTTTTCTTTTTTGGTCTTTTTGAGACAGTCTCCCTGTAGCCCAGATGGCCTGTAACTCACTATAGAGACCAGGCTGGCATCAATCTCAGAGATCTGCCTGCCTCTCCCAAGAGCTGGTATTAAAGGTGTGCACTGTTACATATAATCATGCCTGGTTATATGTTAACTTTAAAGACAGATACCTGTGTATTTTCCAAAACACCTTCATTAAGCTGGTTGAATTAATGATCTGGTATTTTTTTTTTAATATGGAAACATTCTTTTGGATATCATAACCTTTTCTGAAATCTGATCATTAGATTAATTTGAAGTGTTTGATCCTCTTTAGAGTATTGATTTTAGTTATATTCTGAAATTAGCATACCAAAAATATTACCCTCTTAATACATTAATTATATGACCTGAATTTAGGTGTGACCAACTAAAATTAGATTGGAGGGGGGTTCACGTGTCACTTTGGTGTTGGTGTCATGTGCTTGTCAAGCCCTTGTCAGTTTTTCCAATTGTGTATATAGTGGGTGTGGTACATATATGTGTGAGTGCAGCTTACACTTGCCATGGTTTGAATGTGGAGATCAGAGGATCATCTTTGAGGGTCAGTTCTCTCCTTCCACTGTTGGATTGAGCTCAGAGGGCCAGGTTTGGGTGGCTGCACATTAAATAGTTTTACCTGATGAGCCATCACTCTGGCTGCCTTGTGAATTTTAATTTTTTTATTTTAATTTTAATTTTTTGTCTTTTTGAGACAAGGTCTCCCTGTAGCCACAGCTGGCCTGCATTCACTAATGGAGATCAGGCTAGCCTCAAACTCACAGAGATCCGCCTGCCTCTGCCTCCCAAGTGCTTGGATTAAAGGCGTGCACCACCATGCCCAGCTACTTTAAATTTTTTTTTTTTAATTACAAAATAAATTCACAGTGTGAAAATTAAGATGGTACAGAAATGAAAAGTGAAAGCTTCTTTCTGCCCTCTAGAGGTAATTATTCATCAGTGTTTGACATATAGTATCCCAGACCTTTTTCTGTACATAAACTAGCATTTATTATGATTTTTGTAAAAAAAAAAAAAAGAAAAAAGTCACGCTTTACTACACCACTGTTGTGCAACTGTCTTGAACATCTCTTTATCTGGTTTCTCATAATTTAAGTGGCCACAAGGAGGTGGGGCATGGTGATGCACACCCGTTATCTCAGAATTTGGGGGCCAATCCTCAGAAGAGAGGATTGACAGACTTTGAGGCCCGCAGACCTAGTCACACACAAACAAGTAGAACCACAAGGGGATTGGGAGATGGCTCAGTTGGTGAAGTGCTTGCCATGCTAGCATGAGGACCTAAGTCTGATCCCTGAAAACCCCACATAAAAATCTGAGCATGGGGGCTAGAGAGATGGGGGCTCAGTGGTTAAGAGCTTGCTCCTCTTGCAGAGGACCTGTGTTTGATTCCTGGCATCCACAATGAGTTCACAACTGCCTAATGTAACTCTAGTTCCAGGGGATCTGGTGCCCTCTTCTGGCTTGTGGGGACGTCTGCATGCACATGGTGTACCTATAGACATGCAGGCATACACACATTCACATAAATACAAATAAATAAAATTTAAAGATCTGGACATGGAACTGGGTTTGGTGGTACATGCCTTTAATGCCAGCACTCAGGAGGCAGAGGCAGGCCAGTTTCTGTGAGATTAAGGCCAGCCTGGTCTACATAGTGAGTTCCAGGCCAGCTGGGGCTACAGGGAGACCCTGTCTCAAAAAGACCAAAAAGAAAAAAATATATATATTTGGGGGGGGGGGCTGGAGAGATGGCTCAGTGGTTAAGAGCCCTGGCTGCTCTTGAAGAGGACCTGGGTTCAGTTCCCAGCACCCACATGGTAGCAGAGAACCTGGGTTTGATTCCTGGCATCCACAATGAGTTCACAACTGCCTGATGTAACTCCAGTTCCAGGGGATCCAACATCTTATTCTGACCTCTGCTGGCATTGCATGACACAGGTGCACACATACAGGCATACACACAAAATAAAAATAAAATATAAAACAATCTTTGGGACTGGGTATGTGACTTAGTGATGCAGTATGTGTTTAACATGCTAGAGGTTTTGGGTGTGATCTATAGCCCTCCCCCAAAAGGATTCATATTTTATTATTATTATTATTATTTAATTTTATGTGTATGCGTGTATTGCCTGCATGTAGGTTAAGTGCACCTGTGTCGTGCAATGCCCCTGGAGGTCGGAAGACGCTGTCAGATCCCCTGGGACTAGAGTTACGGACAGTTGTTAGCTGCCATGTGGGTGCTGGGATTCGAACCTGGGTCTTATGCAAGAATAACCAGTGTTCTTAACCACTGAGCCATCTCTCCAGCCCCAGGGATTCATATTTTAATAACATTTTTTCTATGTATTTTACTCTCATTGGTTAACTCTTAAGTTGAGTTTAGACTGGGCGTGGGTGGTATACTCCTTTAATCCTAGCATTCAGGAGGCAGTGGCAGGCGGATCTCTTGAGAGTTTGAAGCCAGCACAGTCTACTTAGACCCTGTTTCAACAAAAAGTTGAGTTTAGTGATTAAAAGTATGAGGTCTGGGGTCAGATATGTCTAGATTTGGAATCTTGATAATGTGCTTCCTAGCTTTGTGTCTTTGGGCCAGTCACCATATGCCTCAGATTTCCAACTTTTATGTTCATTAATAGTACTTATTTTAAAGAGTAGTTGAAGCCAAGCATGGTGGCACACACCTTTAATCCCAGCACTTGGGAGGCAGAGGCAGGTGGATCTTTGTGAGTTTGAGGCTAGCCTGGTCTACACAGTGAGTTCCAGGACAGCTGGGGCTACAAGGAGACCCTGTCTCAAAAAAGATAAAAACAAACAAACAAAAAAAAGAGTAGTTGATAGAGTTTAAATGAATTAATTTATAGTCATGCAATGCCTGCAGAGGTCAGAAGAGGGTGTCAGATGCCTTGGAACTGGAGTTACAGATGCCTGTTAGCTGTCATGTAGGTGCTGGGAACTAAACCTGGGTCCACTGCAGAGCAGCCAATGTTTTTTAAAAAAATATTTTTTTTATTATTTTCATGTGTATGAGTGTATTGCCTGCATGTATGTGAGTGCACCCGTGTCATGCAATGCCTTGGAGGTCAGAAGAGGACTTCGGATTCCCCTGGAACTGGAGTTAAGACGCCATGTGGGTGCTGGGAATCGAACCTGGGTCCTCTGCAAGAGCAGTCAGTGCTGAGCCACCTCTCCAGCCCCACAGCCAGTGTTCTTAACTGTGGAGCCATCTCTATAGCCCCTAGTCTTGTGTGTGTGTGTGTGTGTGTGTGTGTGTGTGTGTGTGTGTTTGAGTGTTTGAGACAGGGTCTCCTTGCAGCCCCAGCTGTCCTGGAACTCAATATGTAGACCAGGGTGGCCTTGAACTCACAAAGATCCACCTATCTCTGCCTCTGCTTCCTGAGTGCTGGGATTAAAGGTGTGCCCCACCACACCCAGCTCTAGTCTTTTTCTTTTCTTTCTTTCTTTTTTTTTTAATAGGAAGAAATTTTATACTCTTAACTGCTATAAAAATGTCTCTTACAATTAGGTGCATTGGCATGTGCGTGTAATCCCAGGTACTAGGAAGACCGAGGCAGAAGGGTTGCCAATTTGAGGCCAGTATTGGACAACATAGTGAATCCTTGACTAAAGAAAAAGATTCTGCACTAGCAAGATGGCTTAGCAGGTAAAGGTGCTTGCCGCCAAGCCTGAGTTCAATTCTTGGAACTTTCGTGGTAAAAGGAGATAACGACCTGGGGATTAAACCCGGGGATTTTTATGTGCCAGGTATGCACCCTGCCAGCTGAATACACATCCCAGCACCTACTTTTTCTTTGTCCGTTCATGTGTTGATGGACATCTGGACTAATTCCATTTTAGCTATTATGAACAGTGTACCCATAAGCATGGCTGTGCAAGTATCTTTGTGGTATGCAGACTGTTGTAAAAATTGTAGTGTAAGTAGCAGCAGGGTTATAATTAAGTGTTAAAATGTTTCAATTCCAGTGTGTCCTCTTAAGTTTTCTGAGATATTTGTCTACTTTGTATGTTGACATGGATTGTTTTTTTCCCTAAATGTTTTCTATGTATAATCTCTGAGTTTAATACTTGGTAATCCTTTGTTTTTGAGACAGAGTGTCTCATAGCCCAAGCTGGCTTTGACCTCATCATATAGCTGAAGATGACTTTAAACGTAGGCTCTTCTGTCTGTGTACCCCATTGTCAGGACTACAGAAGTGTACCTGTGTACCCATATTCTCATTTTTGTGTTTTAATTTTATTATTTATTTAGTGTTTGAGACAGGGTTCCCTTGTAGCCCTAACTGGCCTGCAACTTGCCATGAAGACCAGGCTGACCTTGAACTCACAGTGATCTTCTGCCTCTGCCTCCCAAGTGCTAGGATTAAAGGCTTGCACCACTATGCTGGGCCATTTTTATTTTTTCATGTGTTGCTGAGGATCAAATCAGGGCTTACTTCTTGAATACGAGGCAAACACTACCAACTGAGCCACATTCCCAGTCACTGTAATCTTAAAAAAAAAAAAAAAAAGGATTTATAAAAAAAATTCATTAAAAATTGTTTTTGTTTTGTGTGTGGGGTATACATGTGTGTGCTCACCTGTGTGGGTGCTTGCTGCTCTGTGTGTGTAGGGTAGAGGTTGATGTAGGTGGCCTTCTGTGAGATGGGGTCTCTCATTGAGATTGGAGCTTACTGTTTTGGCCAGAATGGCTGGTCAGTGAGTTCCCAGGATCCTCCTGTTTCTACTCCCACAGTAGTGGGGTTATGGACGTGTGCTGCTGTGTCTGGCTTTTGCCTGGATGCTGGGGATCTGAACATAGATCTTCATGCTTGCCCAGCAAGTACTTACCTATTAAGCTATCTCCCACACCCCAGAATTCATTGTTTAAATTATACAATTCACAGAATTACACAGCCATTACCACTCTGGTTTCGGAGCACTGGTAGTTGGTGCTCTCCGGTTAGCAGTCACTCCCATTCTTTCCCTGCAGTGCCTGGCACTGGTCACCTTTCTGTCTCTGAATTTACTTATTCTCTGTATTTCAGTTTACAGTTTTTTTAAAAAAGTGGCCCCAGTGTGGTGGTGCACGCCTTTAGTCCCATACACAGGAGACTGAATGAAGCAGAAAGTGCACCAGTTGGAGGCCAGCTTGTACTACATACGTAGTGAGTGCAAACCAGCCTGGGCTACACAGTGAAACTAAAACAAACAACAGATTTAATGTCATTTTAGATAAAACATGGGTTACATCTAAGAGCGTCTCACATAGATGGACTGGTGAGTGGACATAAATTAATGCTAGGAGAGGAGATTAAAGGGGAAAGCATGAAAGGTGGTGAAATTGTGGCAAGTAGAGAACTTAAATATGAGAGTTAGTGCTGTCTAGATCTACTGTAATTTAGAAATAAATAACAAGTATGCCCTGTTTCCTTCCTATGAAGTCTGTGGCTCCAGCAGCCTTGTTTCTAGCAGCTAAAGTAGAAGAACAGCCAAAAAAATTGGAACACGTCATCAAGGTCGCGCATACTTGTCTCCATCCGCAGGAGTCACTTCCTGACACGAGGAGTGAGGTAGGTTTATGATAATTTTGTAATTTTGAATCTGGGCTGTTATAAACTATTGAGTGTTCATTTTTTTTTTTTTTTTAATGGAAAAACAAAGTTTAGCCAGGCGTGGTGGTACACGCCTTTAATCCCAGCACTTGGGAGGCAAAGGCACGTGGAACTCTGTGAGTTCAATGTTAGCCTGGTCTATATACAGAGTTCCAGGCTAGCTAGAATTATAAGGAGATTCTGTCTCAAAAAGACCAAAAAAGAAAAAAACAGAGTTTATGGTAAAAGGTGGGTTGTAAAAGTAAAAGATGCAGAAGAGCAACGAGTTAAATGAATAACTTATGGCATAAAGAAGCCCTGCTGTCTTCTGTGTGAGCAACCGCCATCATTGTCCGTCTGCTGTGTGAGCCGACCGCCATCATTGTCCGTCTGCTGTGTGAGCCGACCGCCATCATTGTCCGTCTGCTGTGTGAACCGACCGCCATCATTGTCCGTCTGCTGTGTGAACCGACCGCCATCATTGTCCGTCTGCTGTGTGAACCGACCGCCATCATTGTCCGTCTGCTGTGTGAACCGACCGCCATCATTGTCCGTCTGCTGTGTGAACCGACCGCCATCATTGTCCGTCTGCTGTGTGAACCGACCGCCATCATTGTCCGTCTGCTGTGTGAACCGACCGCCATCATTGTCCGTCTGCTGTGTGAACCGACCGCCATCATTGTCCGTCTGCTGTGTGAACCGACCGCCATCATTGTCCGTCTGCTGTGTGAACCGACCGCCATCATTGTCCGTCTGCTGTGTGAACCGACCGCCATCATTGTCCGTCTGCTGTGTGAACCGACCGCCATCATTGTCCGTCTGCTGTGTGAACCGACCGCCATCATTGTCCGTCTGCTGTGTGAACCGACCGCCATCATTGTCCGTCTGCTGTGTGAGCCGACCGCCATCATTGTCCGTCTGCTGTGTGAACCGATCACCATCATTTCCAGTTACTTTTCTGGGAATAGCTATGCATGCAGAGATTTATCTATTTATTTATTTAATTTTTACAAAAACTTTATTGAGAATTTCATACATGTATATAAGGTCTTTTGATCAAATCCATGCCCGCTCCCTCCCCTCCAACATCCCCCCTCTGAAGAGGTAGCCCTAAAATCTTTTAAGGATTAGATACAAGCTCCCAAATACTTTTGGCCCTTGGAACAGTATGTTGCTAACAGGCTCAAGGACATTTTGAGTGTGTATGAGTATATTGCCTGTATCCATGCACGTGCAATGCCTGCAGATGTCAAAACAGGGTGTCGTATTCCCTGGAACTGGAGTTACAGCCTGTTGTTAGCTGCCATGTGGGTGTTGGGAATTGAACCTTGGTTCTCTGCAAGAGTAGCCAGTGCTCTTAACTGCTGAGCCACCTTTCCAACCCCCTTTTTTTTTTTTTTTTTAAGAACAAAAAAGAAGGGCTGGGCATGGTGGTGTAGCTTTGAATCCCAGCACTCAGGAGGTGGAAGCAGATAGTTCTCTATGAGTTTGGCCCCACTTGGTCTACAGAGTAAATTTCAGGCTAGCCAGGGCTACATAGTGAGGCCCTATCGCCAAGAAAAAGGGCATGAATTTCAGTCTGAAAGTGAACCACATGCCTAGAAATAAGCCAAAAGGCAATTTTTGCTTATTGCTAAAAAGTCTAAACACTTGAGCACTTGAGGGATAGAGAGATGGCTCACTGGATAAGAGCACTTGCTGTTCTTCCAGAGGACCTGGGTTCTGTTCCCAGTACCCACGTGGCTGCTAACTACCATCCATAACTCCCAATTCCAGGGGACCCATGCTCTCTTTTTGGCTTTTGCAGATTTGTGCACATGTGATAACAACATACATGCACGTAAAATACTCATACACATAAAGATTTTTTTTTTGGTCTTTTTGAGACAGGGTCTCCCTGTTGCCCCAGCTGTCCTGGAACTCACTATATCGATCAGGCTGGCCTTGAACTCAGAGAGATCCACCTTCCTCTGCCTCCTGAGTGTTGGGATTCAAGGTGTGTGCCACCATGTCTGGCTAAATAAAAATAAATTTTAAAAATGTCTGTATTAGTCACTTTACTGTTGCTGTGATGGAAACACCATGACCAAGGGAACTTATAAAAGAAGAGATTATTTAGCTTATGGTTCCAAAGGGGGAAGAGTCCATCATGGTGGGGAGGCATGGTGGCAGAAGTGGCTGGAGTACTAGTGGAAGCTAAGCTCACATTTTCAAGCAGACACAAGAAGCAGAGCGCAACTGGAGATCTTGCAAGGCTTAAGAACTCTGTAAACCTGCCCCCAGTGACAAGCTTCCTCCAGGATACCCATGCCTTCTAAGACCTCCCAAAACAGTGCCACCAACTGGGGACAAAAATGTCCAAATACTTGGAGCCTATGGGGGACATTCTCATTCAAACCACCACAATGTCCAGACATTTAAAAAATACTTCAAGTGAGAGGCAGGCAAATATCTCTGAGTTCAAGGCCAGCGTGGTCTACATAGGGAGTTCCAGGTTAGCTGGGGCTATAGGGAGACTCTGTCTCGAAAAGACTGAAAAAAAAATTACTTCAAATGAGTATAAAGTTCATTGGGACTGGAGAGATGACTCAGTGGTTAAGAGCACTGATTGCTCTTGTGGAGGACCTGGGTTCGATTTCCAGCACCCACATGGTAGCTAACAACTGTCTGTAACTCCAGCTCCAGGGGATCAGTGCCATCTTCTGACCTCCACAGGCATTGCATGACACGGGTGCACCTATATACATGCAGGCAATACACTCATAACATTAATAAATAAAATTTAAAAAGAAAATTAAAGGTCATTTTCCATTTTTTGGACAGTACTGCTGATTCTAGTTCCTTATATACTCCGTCAGCCCTTTACCCCGGGCGTGTACCTGTACCTTGTGTTTTCTCCATACTTCCTTAGGGGGCGTGTGTGTATGTGTGTGTGAGTGAATCCAAGACCTCAAGAATGCTAGCATCCTCTCACTTAGTCACACCCCAGCCCTTGATTTTCTTAAAGAAGGGCAACTTTCCTGGTTTTATTTATTAAAATTTTTTTTTAAGCCAAGCATGGTGGTGCATGTCTTTAATCCCAGCACTCAGGAGGCAGAGCAGGCAGATCTCTGAGACTGAGACCAGCCTGGTCCACATAGTGCGTTCCAGGCCACTGTGGGGCTGCAGGGAGACCCTGTCTCAAAATGACAAAAACAAAAAAAACCCAAAAAACCCCAAAAATGAAAATTAAGAATTTGTTTTATTTTTAATTATGTGTGCATGAGTACGAGCAGGTTCTGCAGGGAGCAGTGGTGGTGGATCCTCTGGAGCTGGAGGTTTAGGTGATTTTACAAATGTTAAAAAAGCTGGGTGCCTTTAATCCCAGCACTCGGGAGGCAGAGGCAGATGGATCTCTGAGTTCAAGGCCAGTCTGGTCTATGTAGAGAGTCCCAGGACACTTGGGGCCACAGGGAAACCCTGTCTCAAAAAGACCAAAAAAAGAAAAGTCAAAATATTTAATTGAAGGTTTATTTCACAATTACATAATTTTTACTAGCTGTGTTTTCAAGTTTTTGGTCAGCCATATATGGTTAATGGCTATAGTTTCGGTTGGTTGAAATCTGAGAGAACTTTTCCCATTTATTCCCTTTTCCTTTGGATTCTTGTATTAATGTTTAGAGATGTAGTATCATCTCAAAGATAAAAATTTACTAGGATGGGGAGGGAGGATAAAACACAGAGAGGAGAGATGAATAGCACCTAGCTAGTGTAAAAAGCCAGAGGGAATCATGTTAGTCCAAAACCTACTGAAAAATTACACATATAATATCTCTACATGAGTCCAAGAGTTCAGCTGAAGACGACATAACAGGAAACAGTGCCAGAGAGGAGAAACCTTCCTTTGAGTTGTTGACCAGGGTAGTACAACAGACTCCCCAAAATTACACAGGCTGTTGCCACAGCCCTTGATTGCCTCCCAGACCTTGATGGTAAGACCCTGTTGCTGAAGACAGGCCATACTTTGTACTCACGATTTGGAGCAGTGGAGCTGGAACTGACCTGGAAGCTACCTCCCCGAAGGCTAGTTCTCATAGCTTTGAAGATCACTATAGAAGCTGGTAAGGGAGCACATCAATCAATGGTCCAACCCCAGCTTCAAGGCCTAAAACTGCATCAGTGACCAGGACAACAAATGACATTGGTGCAGTAGTGGCACTTTTATCTTGGGGGTAATTGAGAGCTACCTAATTGGACTTAAAATTCATTCAATGGGAGGAAGCTCATGTCTGGTACTGTAAACCTAGCCAAATACACATAGCTGGAGCGGTCATAGATCTTAGGGAAAACCCCAAGGCTTTTATATCCCTAGACTACTGTAATTTCTTACTATGTGCAAAATATGAATCCTTAAATTTATAGACAAGTAGCCCAGTCACCACCCATCAAAGTAGCTTCTTTTTCAACAGACGGAGATTGTTACAGTTACACCACGGGTCACACACACAGATTGTGAATTGCCCAGCCTAAATGGCCACCTAGGACGCAACCTCTACACTAAGACTCCAGGAATCAGAAAAAGAGATGAAAAGAACATGAATGCATCTTTCAGTTCTCATTGAAGCTTCCTCATGCAACAGAGAGCCAGGAACACAAAAGGCCACAAATGGCCAGAAAGAAGAGAGTAAGAGTTGGCAGAGTGTGGGTCCTTGAACAGGACTCCTATATTGAGGTCCACCCACCCAGGGTTCAGGGACCATGGCAGAAGAGGGGACAGATTGTATGGAAAGATTGTAAGAGCCAGGGAGGAGGTACATGACCATACAGAAATAGTCCTACAGGCTCCTGGGACCCTTCTTATACAAACAAAACCTACAGCAGCGGTGTCGGCATGCACAGGACCCACGCAAATGTAGGCAGACAAAAACCCAGCACAGAACTGGAAATGAACAGCAAGCCTCCATCTTAGTTGAAGAATTATTGGCAGCTGATTACTGCTGGGTGAGGAAGGGCTGATTTTCTTGAAGGGAGAGACTCTAGATAGGCTGACTAAACCCTGGTGGATGCGCTTGCACTCAGGGACATCCTTGGACACTAACTTTACATAATAGACCTTAATACAAATGACAGAATGTATGAACTCCAGTGGGAGGGATATGGGAGGGTGCCAGAGGGGAAGGGGGTGGTGTAAAGATGGCTTTATGCATGAAATACACAAAAATTCAATAAATTTAAAAGGTAATAAAAGCTGAAATAATGCTAAAAACAAAAAAATTTAATAGGAGTTGGGACTGGTGAGGTGGCTCAGTGGTTACAAGTACATATTGCTCTTGCAGAGGACCTGAGTTCAGTTCCAGAACCCACGTCGTGACCCACCACTGCCTGTAACTCCAGTTGCAGGGGATCTGACATCCTCTTCTGACCTCCTCAGGCACCCCACTCAAACACACCAACCACACTCGTACATACACATACACATAATTAAAAAGCAAAAATTAAAATCTTGGCTGGGTATGGTGGTGCATGCCTTTAATTCCAGCACTTGGGAGGCAGAGGCAGGTGGATCTCTGTGAGTTCCAGGTCAGCTGGGGCTACAGGGAGACCCTGTCTCAAAAAGACCAAAAAGAAAAAAATAAAATAGGTGTGAAATATTTGTTACTAGTCAGATGCTTACAATACTGTCAGAAGGTCTGAAAATCTCTTTATGGCTTAAAAAAAGGTGTATTGTTACTTTCTCATCTCTAAATTATCTGAATTTTAAAACTTTAAAATATTCAGCCTGAAAATAAATCAATCCTTGGTGCCTTTTGGTAGCTACATATGAATTAACTGTTGCCTTTTAGTGTTCGATTTTTTTTTTTTTTTCCATATAAAGGCAGATTTGTGCTGAATGGGTTAGGGATAAGGATTGTATTTCAGTTCCAATTCTACCTCCTAACTGCCCATACTTTTTATTGTTTAACAACCTGGGAGAGGTTGTTAAAGTTGCTTATCTTTCATATATTGTGCCTTTTGGGAAAATAACTTCTGTTTTCTTTCCCACAGGCCTACCTACAACAAGTCCAAGATCTGGTGATTTTAGAGAGCATCATTTTGCAGACTTTAGGTAAGTTTATTTTACTGAAGAGAATGAAAAAAAATTATATTTGGAATGCAATGATTTAATGTTAAAACTGTAAATTTGGAGAAAATATTTTGGGAAGGTTTTTATGAAGTTTCTATGTGTTTCTGGGTAATAGTGGTTATAGAGCTTATGGTTTAATTCAGGCCTATATTCTGTAGAGAGAATGTAGGTATAGTTGATATTTGAAACAGCAGTTAGGAGGGATTTTTGTTTTTATTATTTTCCCATTCTAAGATTCATGGTTTGTCTTTTTGAAGTTTGGTAAGGTTCTTTTTTTTTTTTTTTTTGGAAACAAGATCTCCCTATAGCCCCAGCTGGCCTGGAACTCAGATCCACCTGCCTTTGCCTCCCGCATGCTGGGACTACAGGCATGTGCCACCACACCTGGGCTTGAAGGTTGGTAAGTTTCAACCTGATCAATAATGCCAGAGAGTTAAAAACCATTCTGTGAATTGTTCTGGTCTGACAGTGTATTCAGATAATGATTTTTCCCCCCTCATGGGGGGCCTTAAAAACTCACAATCCTCCTGTCTCAGCCTCTTGAGTGTTAGGATTATAGATGTGCTACCTGGTAGGATGGAGGCTTAGAACAGCATTTGTCTTTACACTTGGTAATCGCTATTTAGTGTGCATAGCAGAGTGAAACTGGAGGAACTCGAGCTATGTTGTTTGCATGGACAGCCTTAATGATTTATAGAACAGGGGAGTCCAGCAAGATGGTTTGGTGGGTAAAGGCACTTACTGCATAGCCTGACAACCTGAGTTTGATTTACAGGACCTACATGATAGAGGGAGAGAACTGACTCTCCTACAAATTGTCCTCTGACCTCCATGTATGCACTGTGGTGCAGGCACTTGGTGTGTGCATGTATGCACATGTGCATGTGTTTGTGTGTAAGGTATTTTATAGGTATTTTTCAGTAGGAAATGTAGGATTTCACGTATTATATTTAAAAGCTATTGATACATAATAAATGTTAATAAACAGTTATTGGTATGTTATTTTTTTCCACATATATACATATGCTGAATTCTTCACAGTTTGCCTCAGAGATCAGTGTTTTTGGGGGACAGGATCTCACCATGTAGTGACTGGGTCTGGAACTTGCTATGTAGGCCAGGCTGGCCTTGAACTCACAGAGATCTTCCTGCCTCTGCCTCCCAAGTGCTGGGATTAAAAACGTGTGCCACTTGAAATTGGATTTTTAAAAAGTACCTATTATTGTGGAGATGTTGAGAGTAATACACTGAGCTGAGAGAAGTTTTTAATTTTTCTAATTCCAGAATTCAGGAGGCAGAGTCAGAAAGATGGCTAGGAGTTCAATGCCTGCCTGGGCTATAGAGTGAGGCCCTGTCTCAATAATTTTTTTTCCAAGGTTAAGCTTTGGTGATCTGAGAATATAGCTCAGCTGGTAGAGTGCTTGCTTAGCGTGCATGGAATCCCGAGTATCTCATAAATCAAGTGTGGTGGCACGTGTCTGAATTCCATTGGAGGCAGGCGAATCAGAAGTTCAAAGTAATCCTTAGCTATGTAGTGAGTTTGAAGCTAGCATGGGCTATATGAGACTGTCTCTACCCCATAGATTATCCCACCCCACCCCAATAAGAAACGCTAGTAAAGCTTTGGAAGGCACCATTATTTGTATGAGTGCTACTTTCAACTTTATACTATATCCTTTTGTCCCTAAAAGAGATTTTTGTGTTTAGAAATTTGGGTTCTTCAGTGGTTTTGAGATCTTGCCAGTACTCTGTAGCTCTTTGGAGAGAATACGTAGTAGTGAAGGGTATGATGAATACTTTGTGTGACTCTTAGTCTTTGCACTGTACTTTTGGGAGAGAAAAATGAGTGATGCCTTTAATGATGACTCAGATAAAAAGAAGTATAAAATGTGTTGGATAATTTTAGATTTTTAACCAGTTACTTTTTTCTCGAAGGGTTTGAACTAACAATTGATCACCCACATACACATGTGGTAAAGTGCACCCAACTTGTTCGAGGTAAGCAGTCCTAAACTGTCTTAAATTGTTGTGCTATTTAGAGGCTGTGATTTTTCTCTAGACAGCCGCTTTGGCCAAAAGTTGTATTAAAAGATCTACATGGCGTAAATCAAAATACTTGATTCTGACCTGGAGTTTTTGTACTGGAACTTAATATATTTAGATGATCTTAAGTTAATGAGAATGTGATGGTTGGTATTGTCAGTTTGACAGAATCTAGACTCATTTGCGAGGCCTCTGGGTCTGCTTGTAGAGAATTATCTTGAATCTGTTCATTGAGGTGGTCAGACCTACTCTGACACAGTGGGGGCACCATTCCCTCCTGAGATCCTGGACTGTATGAGTGGAGAAGGACCTGAGTGGCAGTAAGCATTCATTGCTGTACAGTGGTACACTCCTTTGTTCCTAGCACTTGGGAGACTGAGGCAGGAGGATGATTGCAAGTTCCAAGCTAGGCTGGGCTATATAGTGATACCTCTTGCAACAACACATAGAACAACAAACCAAAAATAAGTATGTGGAGCTGGAGGGCTAGCTCATTGGTAGAACATTTGTGTAATATACATGAAACCGTGGGTTTTATCTCCAGAACTGGAAAGAAAAAAAATCAGGATATCATCATGCATTTAAATGTCCTTTAGAGTTTCCTATGCCAAACTGATAATTAGCCTTATTTTCATTAAATTTTGTTATTTTTATTTTATGTGTATGAGTGCTTTGTCTGCATGTATGGAGGTGCACCCCTGTCGTGCAGTGCCCACAGAGGTTAGAAGGGGACGTCAGATTCTTCTGGAACTTATAGATGGTTGTTAGTTGTCATGTGGGTTCTCTGTAAGAGCAGCCAGTGCTCGGAACAGCTGAGCCACCTCTCCAGCCCTCTAATTTTCATTTTAATAATGAAATTACCAAAGTTTCATTTGAAATTACCAAAGTTTCCCCAGGTCCTATATATTCCAGGGGGTTCTGGCTGTCCCCCCAACCTCTACCCTAGAAGCATGCAACAGGAAGTGTACTTCTAGAACCTTCCAGATGCAAGAGAATCACACCAAAAAGAAGCTGTACTGCCGTGTCATGGGAACTCGCTTTAAAAATTACATTTATTTATTTATTTATTTTTATTTAGGTGTGTTTGGAGGGTGGTGTGCACACATGCTGCAGGGCATGAGTGGGGGCCAGAGGACAAATTTTGGAAGTCAGTTCTCTCCTTCCACTATGTGGATCCTAGAGGTCAAATTCAGGTTATCAGGCTTGATGGCCTTACCTGCTCCCAACCCATCTCATCTGCCCAAGTTCTGTATATTTAAAAGCATTAAAGGTTTACATTGCACAAGAGTAAGGCTAAAGAGAAATGGATGTGTGCTAATACCAAAAAGACTTAACGTTCTAAAGAAAACTCTTGAGCAGTGTTTTTTGGGGGGGGTGAGAAGGGATGTGGAATAGTTTGGGATTTTTTTTGGCTTTTTGAGATAATGTCTCCCCATATCCCCAGCTGACCTGGAACTCATTTATGGCACTTGTGTCTGCCTCCTGAGTGCTGGGAATGAAGGGGTGCACCACCATGCCCGACCTAGTTGGGTTTTTGTTGTACTTTGTGAAACAGTCAGTGTTTGATATTTAAGGGAATTAAATCACAGTCTACCCAGTTGAAATTGGTTCTTTTTTGGGGACTGGAGAGATAGCTCAGTGGTTAAGGGCATTGGCTGCTCTTGCAGAAGACCTGGATTTGATTCCCAGCACCCACATGGTGGCTGACAACTGCCTATAACTCCCAGTTCCAGGGGATCTGACACCTTCTTCTGACCTCCATGAGTATTGCACACCTGTGGTGCACTTACACATATGCAGGCAGGCATTCAGACACATAAATTTTTTTTTAATTAAAAAAAAGGAAATTGGTTCTTTTTATATAAACAAAGTCACTTTTAAAAAATTTGTCAACATCCTCTGGTTGACTTTATATCCAGGTCCTATTAGTTTACCCCTAAGTTACTGTTTCTCAGCCAACTCCTGCATCAGAATTTCTGTGTTTATTAAAAACACTTGTGTTCTGCTCGAAACATTGACTCAAACTCTAAGGAGGAGGTTTACATTTTAAACAAGTACCCCTAGTAATTGATGTGCAGAATGAAGTTTAAATTCCTAGGCCTGGAGGTGGCATAGTCATTAAAATTTGAAATCAGTAGTAGAATATGTGTTTAGCGTGATTGAAGGCCTAGTTTCAATTGTCAGTATTCTACCTGCCTCCCCCAAAATCGGCAGTCTGTTAACTTTGGTAGAATGTAATCATCAGATATTCAGGCATTATTTCTGCCTTATTTACTACTCTTTGCAGTACCTTTCAAATAATAAATGTTTACTAAGTATTTTTTGAGAATGAATGGAACTAATAATTTTTTCTTTCTTTTTGTTAGCAAGCAAGGACTTAGCACAGACATCTTACTTCATGGCAACCAACAGGTTTATATTTTAATTTTTTTCTCTTCTATTTTTGGGACTGGGAATTACTTGGGTTGGAATTACCATCTTTTGAGCTGTATATAGGATCACTTTAGGAAAATAGGAGCCCAAAGACCCAGACATGGAAATAATCTTTGATGCGATATTATGAGCAACAGTTCTCTGGAGAATGTTGATGTTTCCACAGTTTTCCTGTACTTTATGTTTACCTTGTGCTGTTTGATTTGCTAAGGTGATGTAACTGTTTAGTACTGATGTTTTGGTAGCCTCCGTTCTGCAGGTTTTACTTTGTTATATAATGTCCAAGAGTATAATTTTGAAAGTTCATGTAATTTTACTGGTCATTGATTTTTCTTCCATTTTTGCCCAAGCAGTGAGCACTTACATGTTATATAAGGAGTTGGGATACATTTTTCTTTTTTCCTCTAAAAAAGTTACCAGTATATAACATGTTATTAAATGACTTGTTTTCTCATGTCTGATCTCCATTATAATTTAGAGAAACTAAAGATACCCTTAAAACTGTCAAGTATAGCTGAGTGTGGTGGCTCATGCCTTTAATCCCAGCACTCAGGAAACAGAGGCAGGTGGATCTCTGAAGCCTGCCTGGTCTACATAGTTCCAGGCCAGCAAAAGCCAAAATAAACAAAGAAACAAAAAACCCCAACTGTCAAGTGTAGAAAGTTCAGTTTTAATAATAATAATTTAATAATAATAAATGGATAAGAAGGCTAGGGATGTACCTTGGTAGAGTGCTTTTAGCATGTACCAAGCCCTGAGCTCAGTCCCATCACTGCCCAAACTGGGTATGGTGGCCCATGCCTGTAATCCTAACACTCAGGAGGTGGAAGGAGGAGGATAAGGAATTCAAAGTCATCTTCTGCTACATAGAAAGTTTGAGGGCAGCCTGGATTACATGAGATTCTGTCTTATAAACATACACACAAACAAATATCTTTGAAATGAGAGCCAGGTATCATGGTGGTACAATCCTGTATCTCCCAGCATTTGGTGGAAGATTGGAGGATTGCTATGCCTTTGAGGCCAGCCAAGGAGGGAGACCCTGCTTCAAAACTAAACCAAGGGGCTGGAGAGCTGGCTCGGTAGTTAAGAGCCTCTTAACAGAAGATCTGAGTTCAGTTCCCCATACCCATGTCAGTCAGGCAGCTCACAACTACTTGTAAATCCAGCTCTGGATGTCTCTGGTCTCTGAGGGCAATCACGCTCATGTGCACATGTCCATACATAGACACACACGTATACATAATTAAAAATAAATCTCAAAGTCAAAATTGCCGGGTGTGGTGGTGCACCCCTTTAATCCCAGCACTCGGGAGGCAGAAGCAGATGGATCTCTGTGTGTTCAAGGCCAGACTGGTCTACATAGTGAGTTCCAGGCCAGCTGGGGCTACAGGGTGACCCTGTCTCAAAGAGACAAAAAAAAAAAAGAAAAAAAAAAAAAGAAAGTCAAAATTAGCTGGGCATGGTAGCATAGGCCTTTAATCCTAGCACTGGGGAGGCAGAAGCAGGTGGGGCTCTGCAAGTTTAAGGCCAGCCTAGTCTGTATAGCAAGTTCCAGGCTAGCTGGGGCTACAGGAAGACCCTGTCTCAAAAAGAAAAAAGACCAAAAAAAAATCAAAATTTTGGGGAGTAAAAAACAAACCAAGCATATTCATACCTGAGAGAGTGATTGCTATTTTGTTTTTTTAGTCTTGGTTTTTGGCCAGCGTTGAACTCTTGGTCGTCCTGTCTCTACCTCCTAAGTATTGAGATTATAGGTGTGTGCCATTATGTTGGCTACGATTGTTCATTATTTTGAGTAGACCAGAATTATAATTGGCAAGAAATAATTTTTAGGCTATTGCCGACTCAAGTATTTGACTTAGGATTTAAATACACACATATAAAGCCTTAGAATTTTCCTTAAATTTTAAGTTTACTTTTAGGATAACAGGTAATAAATACAGATTTCTGAACTTGGGTATTGGTCCAGAAGTCAGTATTTTAAAAACTTGATTGACTATCTAGCCCCTTTTCTTTCTTCTTTTTTTAGTTTTTGTTTTCTGTTCCCTAATCAGTGTGTAGATTGAGTGGTCATAGGAAATTTGGAAGTGTTGCTAACCTGAGCAGTAACTTAGTAGAAGGCCACTCTGTTGCGTTTTATCTCTGGGGAGCACAAGGCATTTCTTGCCCTTCTCGCTCCTGTGGTTTTTTGGTTTTTGGTTTTTGTTTTGTTTTTTTTAAATAATGGAGAGTTTTAGTTTAGGGTTGAGAACTGAGGGCTCATGACACTCTCTGTTTCCTTCCCTCTGATGTCAGCCTGCATTTGACCACATTTAGCCTGCAGTACACACCTCCTGTGGTGGCCTGTGTCTGCATCCATCTGGCTTGCAAGTGGTCCAACTGGGAGATCCCAGTCTCAACTGACGGGAAGCACTGGTGGGAGTATGTTGACGCCACTGTGACCTTGGAACTTTTAGATGGTAAGTTTTAGAGTAAGGGACCTTGAAATGCACTTGTTCTTGACGTGTCACATACCTGGCCAAAGGTGACTTGACTCAGATGAAAATAGTAGAGGTTATTCTTGTTTCATTTACTCTGGGTCACTGAGTGGTTCTTGACTGTTTTACTTGTAGAATTGACACATGAATTTCTACAGATTCTGGAGAAAACTCCCAACAACAGGCTGAAACGTATTCGGAATTGGAGGGTAAGGATTATTACCAATAAACTTGTTACTTTTTTAAAACTGCACCGATGAGTATACCAGAATTGGGTATGCGCACTAGGCTTGGGGTTTCCCTTTCCTACCTGTGCAATAGTGGTGACTTAATAATACGGATATTGATCAAAGACATCAATGTCTATAGGGGATAGGAGATTTCGCTTTGCGTCCTGTAATGTGTTTTTCATGATTACTTGGTAACATTGGCTGAGTGTTTTATTTGTGTGTGTGCGCAGGTCTGCACACATATGTGTTCACATGTGGAAACCAGAAATTGATGTTGAGTGTCTTTCTCTGTTTCTCCCCACATTATTTTTGAGACAGGATCTCTTAACTGAACCTGGAGCTCTATTTCAGCTAGCTGGCCAACAACTCCAGGGATCTGCCTATGTCTGTCTGTCTGCCTTCCCCTCTCCCAGTACTGGAGTCATAGGCACATACCACTGCACCTGGCTTTTACATGGGTGCTGGGGCTTTGAACTCAGGTCCTCATGCTTGCATGACAAGCACTTCACCCACAGAGACATGCCTCAAATCCCTGGTTGTGTATTTTCCAAATAGAGACTACCAAAAACATGGCTCCTGGTTTGGTGGCACATTCCTTTAATCCCAGCACTGGGGAGGCAGAGGTACAAGGATCTCTGAGATGTAGCCCAGCCTGGTCTACATAGTGAGTTCCAGGCCAGCTGGGGCACCAGGGAGACCTTGTCTCAAAAACAGCAACAAAAAACGTGTCTCCTGAGTCAAAGTATTGACTTCTGGTGGAGAGGCAAGGTACAGAATTATTAGGCTAGAGCATAATTTGGGCATTTGCTACCTTTTTTTTTTGAGATAGGGTCTCCCTGTAACCCCAGCTGGACTGGAATTCACTAAGTAGACCAGGCTAGCCTTGAACTCAAAAAGATCTGCCTGCCTCTGCCTCTTGAGTGCTGAGATAAAAGGCGTGTGCCACCAAGCCTGGCAAATATTGACGAGATTAACATTTTCTGAAGAAGCACCCACTTTTAAAGCTACCTTTTATTTTATTTTAGTTTAGTTTAGTTTAGTTTATTTATTTATTTTTGTCTTTTTGAGACAGGTCTCCCTGTAGCCCCAGCTGTCTTGGAACTCACTATGTAAACCAGGCTGGCCTCGAACTCACAGAGATCTGCCTTCCTCTGCCTCCTAAGTGCTGGGATTAAAGGTATGTGCCACCACCATTGACTTCTTTTAAAGTAAATTTTCTTTTTATGTGAGTTGCTATCTAAAGTTGTGTTTTAGATTTTTTTTTCCTACCTTATAATAATAGAATCATTCCTTTTCCCCCAGCATCTGAAAGATGTACTTGGGTCAGCTCAGTACTTAGCATGCACAAGACCTTGGCTCAGTCCTGAGCACCCAGAAAGAACATTTGTTTTCTTTTCTTCTTTCTTTCTAGACTTTCACCACATTGTCCCAGCTGGCCTGGAACTCACTGTGTAGACCAGACTGACCTTGGACTCACAGAGATCACCTGCCTCTGCCTCCCCAGTACCGGGATTAAAGGAGTGCACTGCCATGCCCAGCTTTTATGAATGACTTTAGATAAGTCCAAGCTGTCTTTGGCTGGTCTTTCAGTGTACTTCCTTGTAACACACAGCCTGAAGTGAAAGGATGCTGTTTGTTTCTTTTCAGGCATGCCAGGCTGCCAGGAAAACAAAACCAGATGACCGAGGAGCAGATGAAAACACGTCAGAGCAGACGATCCTCAATATGATTTCCCAAAGCTCTTCAGACACAACTATTGCAGGTTTAATGAGCATGTCAACTACTTCTACCACAAGTGCAGTGCCTTCCCTTCCTGCCTCTGAAGAGTCATCAAGCAATTTAACCAGTGTGGACATGTTGCAAGGCGAACGGTGGCTGTCTTCACAACCTCCTTTTAAACTAGAACCTGCTCAGGGCCATCGGACTAGTGAGAATTTAGCACTTATAGGAGTTGATCATTCCTTGCAGCATGATGGTTCAAATGCATTTGTTTCCCAGAAGCAGACTAGTAAGAGTGTGCCATCAGCTAAAGTTTCACTCAAAGAATACCGTGCAAAGCACGCTGAAGAGTTGGCTGCACAGAAGAGGCAGCTGGAGAACATGGAGGCCAATGTGAAGTCACAGTACGCATATGCCGCCCAGAATCTCCTGTCGCACCACGATAGCCATTCTTCAGTTATTCTGAAAATGCCCATGGACGGTTCAGAAAACCCTGAACGACCTTTTCTAGAAAAGACTGACAAATCAGCTTTGAAAATGAGACTCCCAATAACTGGTGGAGATAAAGCCACCTCTTCAAAACCAGAGGAGATAAAAATGCGCATTAAAGTCCATGCTACTGCTGATAAGCACAATTCTGAAGACAGTATCTCGAAGAGCCGAGAGCACAAAGAAAAGCACAAGACTCACCCGGCTAATCATCACCATCATCATAATCACCATTCACACAAGCACTCTCACTCACAGCTGCCAGTTGGTGCTGTGAACAAACGTCCAAGTGATCCAAAACATAGTAGCCAGACAAGTACCTTAGCACACAAAACTTACAACTTGGCTAGTACTTTGTCCTCTTCGAGCTCTACTCGAAAAAGGGGTCTCCCTGAAGACACTGGGGCAGCAGTATTTGATCATCCAGCCAAGATTGCGAAGAGTACTAAATCTTTGAATTTCCCCTTCCCTCCTCTTCCTACAATGCCCCAGTTGCCTGGGCATAGCTCAGACACAAGTGGCCTGCCCTTTTCACAGCCCAGCTGTAAAACTCGGGTTCCCCATATGAAACTGGATAAAAGCCTTCCTGGGGCCAATGGTCATAACACAACCCAGTCAATAGATTATCAAGATACTGTGAACATGCTCCACTCTCTGCTCAGTGCCCAAGGAGTTCAGCCCACTCAGCCCCCTGCATTCGAATTTGTCCATTCTTACGGTGAATATATGAATCCACGGGCCAGTGGAATCTCCTCCAGATCTAGCAATACAGACAAACCTCGGCCACCGCCTCTACCATCAGAACCGCCTCCACCACTTCCACCTCTTCCTAAGTGAGAAAAAGAGGAGAAAACTTAAAAAAAACATGTTCTTTGTTTTTGTTTTTTGACTACTGATACTGGACTAAGAAAATTATTTCCCTTATGACATATATATCACCCTTCTTGGACTAAGGAATAAACTAATACTGAGATAGGTGGGAGGGTTATGGAGGGCCTCGGTTATTCTATCTGCTGCCTCATACATCTATTTTATTTTAGTTTGTACTAGTATTAGAGAGATAGGATTATGCTGAAGCTGTGAAGGATTAAGAGCATTTTCTCTGTTCTTGGCCTCTCCTCATCTTAATTAGGTTGATTGCAGTAGTTTTATCTTCTCTTCTTGCCGGAACTGAAACATGGAGGGTATGTCAAGCAATTGTGGATTATTTTGGTGTTTAATATATCAGAGGAGAGGAAGTATTTAAACGTCATAATCTTTTAAGAGACTTAAAAAATAATTTAAAGAAAGTAAGTTATCTGTTTAGTTTTTTTATATAATTGGGAAGGGGATAGGGATTTGCTGTGTGTATGAGGTACATAGCAATTGACTGATGGGGGGGTTGGAGGGTGGGAATGTGTGCAGGGTGGGTGGGAGGGTAGGCTTTTGGCCAAGAGTTGAAATCAAAGGCCTAGGCCAATTGAAGCGTTGAGAACTTTTAAGTGTGTGGTTGTGTGGTTTTGTCTGTGTGTTTAAAAATCATGTTACCTTCCTCCCACCTTTTTACCATTTTCACTTCCCAACGTTCTACTAGACAGAACATGGTTGACTTTGAAAACATAAAGAGGCAAGTATTTGACATTGTAAACCCCGCCCCCCCAAACAACATTTTTTATGCTGTGATTGAGTAAACTAGTTTCCAGTTTGGGCAAGTATAACCAATGACCTGACTCTTAGCACTATTATGAATACGTTCTTTTTACCCTTGTGTGTTTTAATGCAGAATGGAGGGGAGATAAAAGAAGGTTTATAGAGAAAGGTCAGATTCTACTCTGCAGAATTGGGCCTTTTATGTGTTTCAGGTTGGACTTAGTGAATGTGTTCAAACAACAGCTGTCTCCGGGTCTCGGAAGGGAAGGAGAATGTGCTTTACTATCCTGCCTATAAAAGTCCAGACCATTTGTGATAATAGGTCTGGGAGAAGCCATGGAACTAGAGGATACTAAAATGAAATTGTGATTTGGGATTCTGAAGACTTTTGTATTTTAAATTATCAATGTACGACTTGCTTCTTATTTGTATATCTAATGGGAAACAGTTGCATACTTGTGTTTGCAGCCTGTATGACTTCAGAGACAACTTCGTGGATTTAACAGCACTAGTGTAATGAAAGTGAGCAAGCCTAGCCAACAAATACTGTTGTGTTTAGATTGTCTATTTTTGGTGGCTTTTAATTTTAGGCAGAGATTCTTAGAGACCTTTAAAAAGATGAATCAGGAATCCTGTTATGGGGGTTTGATTATTCTAGATATGAGGAGTGAATATTTTTGGTGAAGGAACTCTTTCAAGAAATCTTGGCTAGAAAATAATTCTAGGCTGAGCTAAGTAAAAATGCGACCTGACCACAGTTCTTTGGTTCTCACAGCTTGAACATGTATATGGGCATATGCTTTTTTTTTTTTTTTTTTTTTTTTTGCCATGGAAAATAATTTGTCTTCTTGTTTTAATGCAGCTTGTATCATGCCAAATAGTCTTTAGGGAGAAGTCAGATTCTTTTCACTGGAAGTCAGGGATAAAGGAGTTGTACATGTGCTGCTTGCCAAGGACAGACTGGGGAAGGCACTGAGGCAGTTATTATTTTTTTGGGCAGGTTTACTATCTTTATTTTCTGCTTAAAATACGTATATAAAAAAGGAGACGGGATAGGGAAGTAGTGAAATAGAATTATGCTACACTGACACAGACTTGAAATCTAGTTAGAGGTAATGCCAACATTAAACTGATGTTTAAGGTGATAACTACAAGAAGTCTGATTATTAGCTTCAAAAGTGTATGAAAAAAGTCTGAAAAACTTGGCATCCACAGCTGTTGGGTATGTGCCACATGTGGAAGATTTTTTTTCCGGGGGGGAAGGTCTTTTTGAGACGATCTCCCTGTAGCCCCAGCTGGCCTGGAACTCACTGTAGACCAGGCAGGCCTTGAACTCAAAGAGATCTGCCTGCCTCTGCCTCCCAGGTGCTGGGACTACAGGCATGTGCCACCATACCTGGTGGTAGATTATTATTAATAGATGTACTGGCCCAATACAGCAAGGGATGTATAGAAGTAATAAATCTTCAGGTGAGTTTGAGGTCCTGCATCTGCATATTTGAGCTCTCGGGAGTGCCTGCCATTGTTGTGCTAGATAGCTAGATAAGGAGCTCACTGATTGTGAGTCAGTGATGTTTCTTGGGGTGTCCCCTTTTTCTTTTTTGGTCTTTTTCAAGCAGGGTCTCCCTGTAGCCCCAGCTGTCCTGGAACTCACTATGCAGACCAGGCTGGCCTTGAACTCACAGAGATCCACCTGCCTCTGCCTCCCAAGTGCTGGGACTATGGGCGTACGCCACCACGCCCAGCTATGGAGTGTCACTTTTAAGGTGACACTTGGTCTTTTCTCCATGGTGTTGTCTGTAAAAGATAATTGGTTAATGTGTCATCATGATATTAAATTTAGGCTTGGTATTTATTTAGATTTTGTTTCCCATCCTGACCTTCCCAAAAAGGGAATATGCCATTTAGTTTACATCTGTGTATGTGTGGAATTGTTGATCACTGGTTTGGGAAAAATGACTCTTCCAGCTTTTAATTATTATCATTAATGTCACATTTTTTAACCACATGTACTCGCTTACCACAGAGGCACATTTGCTATCATGGCAGTTCTTCATGGTAGTACTGTAGTTAAGTTTCGTAGAACTCTGTCAGGAGTGAACTAGAAAAAGTGCTTACTAGAGCCTAAAGGGGTGCTTCGTGCTGTAGTCTGGCCTTTGTATTAGTAGATTAGTACTGAATTTGGTTAATTTAGAGACTTCTATATTAACACCTCCTAGTACAGTAAAGACATCTACAATGTCTGTTTCTAGGTCTGTGCATAAATTCTGCTCTGCCTCACGGACTCGGCATGAACTACTGCCTTATTTTGGGTTAGCAGATGTGCCAGCCAGCTAGCATGTATGTTGTTCAATTTCTGTGTAAATGGATAAGGCTTCCAAGGGTTGGGTGATTTCTAAGCCATGTGTTTTTCCTATCCCCCACACCGTCAAAGGGTAAGAAATGGGATTTATACATCTAAAGGTAGCCTTGTAAACATGACTTTTTTTTCAAGCTCTAGACTGTCAATGATAAGTGACAGTGGTAAGCAGGCTGAGAGTCTCAACTTATGTAAATCTCATTCCTAAAATTTTGCTTGACTCTTAGGTTGGCATAAATAAATACCTGTGGATTGTCTTTAGGGCATTTAATTATATTCCTGTGTTGCTTTTGGCTGAACTCTGGTGAATCATTAGTTTAAAGCCAGCGTGGTCTTCTGAAGTACCCAGTCATGCCTTTTGGGCTTAGAAAATACCTAAGTAATAGTCTAGTTTTTTCACTCATGAATCATTGTGTTTTTATGTCTGAGACCTTCAGCATCTTTACTTTTAAATGATTTTAGTGTATCCTACATAGTTCTATATTATTGTGTTTGCCAGTGGTGATACAAGAATTTAAAATCTCCAGTTGAAAACAGCAATGGATTCGGAGGTAGAAATGAAATCATGGTAACATCACTGCTGGGTTTCCTCAAGCCTCTGCTACCTAACCCTTCGTTACCTCTCATACCTTTCTTCCTAACAAAAGTAATTCAAGGGATCCTATCCTAGTATGGTTGGAGTCTAAATATATGTTTCCATTATTTTGGGAACTGATTATTTTTTAAAAGATTTTTTTCTTTTGATAGTTATTTTGATACTAATGCCAGGGAAACGGAGAAATGAAAACATCTTGAGATTGGAATGTGTATTTTATTTTCCTGAGGTTAGGAGAATTTAAGCAGTCTATGCAACCCATCAGATAGTGAGAAATGGCCCTCTACCCTCCCACTAAGTTTTCTGTGACTTTTATACCTTCCCAAATATCTTGGTTTTATAATTGAGTTTTGGATCCTGATGATTTAGGATGTGTCCTTGTTGCACCACACTGTCATTTTCTTAGCCCTCTGTGGGTTTGAAAGATGGTACTGTAATCTTATTTGATGGAGGGATCTAGAATCAGAATTGTTTTCTAAATGAGCACGTCTTCATTTTAATATCTCTAAAGTTTTTAATATGAACTTGGCAATGGAAAAGGTAGAGAAAAAAGAACGTTTAATAAAAAGCAGTGTCTACTCTTTCCCTTTATGAGTGTGTATTCCTGGTTGTATGAAGAGAAATTCTCCGGTTTTGTGTTGCCATGTTAATTGTGGAGAGGGATGCTTGACAGCATGCTAACTGAAGCCAGAGCAAGTATGTCTCCACCAGGTAACCTGGGAACTCCAGTGAAAGCTGAGGCGTGGATTAGCTGCTGACCACGATGAAACTGATTACAAAAGGGTAGTGCTCTGGGCCAAGCATCAGCAATGCAGCAGCCTAACTTAGGCTTATCCTAGGCTGCGGAACAGGAAACTGACCTGCTATCATCCTACTTTCCACACTTAAAATTGTCCATTTTCTTACCAGACCAAAGAACAAAAAGGAAAAAAAGTGAAATAAAGTTGACATACTTTGCCAGTTTATGTCACTCAGGTACAATTTCGTGGCGACCCCCCCCCCCCCCCCCCCTGGCCCCCCCCCCCCCCCCCCGCCAGTCTGTTCTTCGTACTGCTCACCACCTTAATTCTGCTGCTGCCTCTGTCTTCCTTGGGGCACTTCAGTTTTGGATGCTTCCCCTGGGATTTCTACTGCTGTTGTGTGAATGATACAGTGTAAGTGACCATTATCATAAGGGCTCTGTAAAAAATTTTTAAAATTGAAAAAATTTTAAAGAAGGATATTGTATACATTTTATAGTCTGGCTATCAGTTTGATATCTTGCTGTCAAGTATGTTTCTCAATATGTATTTATCCATCCCATCAATAAACATTAATGACAAAACACTCATCTGATTGTTGTTTATATGTACCATGTTCTCAAATTATCTTTAGTGGTCATTTTGTTACCATCATTACCGGATTGCTTCCATTTTACTAGTAATTACGTTCCTATCACACAATATCATATGGCGATTGTGCCCATTGGGAAGGCTAAGATTTAGCTGCCACAGCACCTGGTAGTGTAAAGTATGTTGTAGTCAGAGGGAAACAAACCTTCACTTTCTAGTGTTGCATGAGTACCTGGAAGAATTTTTTTTTATATTTTATTTTTATTTTATGTGTATGAGTGTACTGCCTGCATGTATGTGAGTACACCCATGTTATGCAATGCCTCGGAAGTCAGAAGAGGGCGTTGGAGTCCCCTGGAACTGGAGTTAAGGATGGTTCATAGCCTCCATGTGGGTGCTGGAAATCGAACTTGGATCCTCTGCAAGAGCAGTCAGTGCTCTTAACTGCTGAGCCATCTCTCCAGCCCCGAGTACCTGGAAGAATTTAAAGTGATAGCTTTAATATGATAGCAACACTTAACTGCATTAGCAAGCACCATCAGTACAACTCATCATCTTTGAAAAACCTTAACTGTTAAGATAGCCATAGCAATGTCTTTGGCAAAAACTATGTTTTTGTGTTTGTTCAAGACAGGATTTCACTATGTAGCCTAGGCTCACCTCCAACTCTCTCCTCCTGCTTCGTTCTCCCAAGTCCTGAGATTACTGGCATGTACTACCATGCCTGGCAGAAGGTATGTCCTGAAGAAGAGTAGTATTTCTTGATACTTGGCTAGCATATAAGGTAGTTTTTACAAATTATATACTTACAGGAAAGAGTTATGTTAAGTACAAGTACTTCAAAATTGAAGATGACCAGTAGTTTAAGAAATTTCAAAGGTGGGCTGGTGAGATGGCTCAGCAGGTGAAGAGGCACTTGCTGCCAAACCACTGCCCCTCCGCACACATGCAGAATAAATGTAATAAGCATTCAATGGAAAAAGAACCCTTCTGAAGAAAAAAAGTCACGAGTTCTTTTTATTCCTTCTGTGGTTTTTGTTGTGTGAGGGCACATGGTCTCTCTTTTTAGCCCAGCCTGACCTGGAACTATGTAATCCAGGCTGGACTCATTCACAGCAGTCCTCCTGCCTGAACCTCCTGTGTTACCGGGATGACAGAGGTGAGCCACCACACTTGGTATTCCAGTTTCTAAAATAAGGTGAAAAAAATTTGTTTGTTGGACAAACACTATTTTGGTGTGCGGTGCTGGGGATTTTAACCCAGGGCTTTTCACATGCTGGGCAAGCGCAAGGCCAATGAGTTACAAAATTCTTCAAATTTAATTTGCTATATCTGTCTTGAACTTTTTATGGAGATTTCAAACAGTAGGAATTCTAGTCTGGTTTGTCATCCTTAGGAATAAAGTCTAAATCATCTTAAAGTTTGAATACAGCTAGGACCCAGAGTACAGAACTCATTAAACAAATCGGTATAGAGGAAGGCTTCATTTTGTGATCAATGCCTACATATTTATTCTGATCTGGACATTTAGCTGAAAAAAAAATTCGCATCGCCACTATTAAGCGTTCTCTAGAAAGCTGAATCCCTTTCTAAGATTTCTATGGCTTTTAGAGGGTGTATTCAGAGTAATAGATGGGCCTGGGGCCTGTTGTTTGTTCTTCCTGATTGACTTAGTTTATGGGTGATCATATTGTCCCATTTGTCCAACCACTTTTATGCTCGGAATCTTCACTCTTGTTTCACCTGACACCATCTCTAGACAGCCAAAAAGCAAAAGTTAGGAAAAGTACTTTAAGGAGGTCCTTGCCTTTAATTTGTTCCTGTTATGGTACTGTTTATGATGAGACTATGGTAATAAATAAGGTTCCTGCCTTTGAACAATTTACAAATACCTAAAACAGTGTGTTAGTAACAATCACTTGGAATAGAAAGCAAGGAAAGGGATGTGTGTGGCCTGCAGGTGAGGAGGTTTGTTGCAATTAGAAAATCCCAGATTAACTAGGGGTAGGGGGAATGATATATTTTAGCAAAGACTTGCACACTGAAACAGGTTTTGAAGAGTTTGAGAAATGGCAAGAGGCCAGTGTAGCTGTGAGGACTTGAGTGAGGCGTGGAGGGTAGATGGATATGACATCAGAGACACAGCAGTGGAAAGCCAGATACTACAGGATGACTCTGACAGTTGTCAAGTGCTGAAGGTGAGAGCTGATGGTGTGTCTTTGGGATGAGTCATGTTTGACCTGACCAAGTGGAATGATAGTTACTGTATATGGAGACGGAAGTGACTACAGGGGGATCAGGAACAGGCCTTAACATTAAATTTGGAATTTTATTTAGACCACCAATGGAGATGTCTGCTGGACAGAGTGTGCTGTTTAAAGTAAGGGTCCAGGCTGCTGATACTTATTGGGGCTTGGCAGTTTATGAATGGAACAAAACAACCGAGAGAGTGTTAGCAGACGTGTCCCAATGTTCAGAACTTGGGAGTGGGGCTAGGGAACAAGAACTTGGGTGACTGAGGACAGGGGAGAACGAGGATGAGTACAGAGATCTGTAAAGTATGAGAACCAGAGTGTGAATCTTCCTCACCCACATAAAAGCTGGGGGTGACTGTGACCTTCAGCATGCCTATGCACACATTTTAAGTAGGAGAGAGTTGCTGGGCGTGGTAGCTTGTACAATTCCAGCATTGGGAAGCTAAGGAAGGACAGCAATGAGTTTGAGGCTAGTATGGGCTACAGAGAGTCCCTGTTTGGGAGTGGGGAAGTGACCCAGTGTGTTAGATGTTGCAAAACGGTCTAATAAAATGAAGCCTGGAAACTTCATAAACTTCATTAGAATTAACAATGTGAAAGTCATGGATAAATTTAATTATCAATTTAATGTTGGGAGAATCCTAACTGGTGAGGATTCAAGACAGAGTAGGGGAGCCAGGAATGTACACACACCTGTAATCCCAACACTCAGGAAGCGGAGGCAGGGGGATAATTAGTTTGATGCTAGACTGGGCTATATAAGATCCTAAGGGAGGAAAAACAGGCAGACAATGAACAGTAGCTGAAGGAACAGGTCAAGATTTCGGTTTTTTATTTTATTTTATTTATTCTATCTATCTATCTATCTATCTATCTATCTATCTATCTATTATCAATCACCTATCTATCTCTCTCTATCTATCTATCTATCTATCTATCTATCTATCTATCTATCTATCTATCTATCTAGAAAGTAACATAGATCCTTTTTTGTCTTTTTGAGACAGGGTCTCCCTGTAGCCCCAGCTGTCCTGGATTCACTATGGAGACCAGGCTGGCTTCGAACTCACAGAGATCCACCTGCCTCTCCCTCCCAGGTGCTGGGATTAAAGGCCCGCGCCACCACGCCTTGCTACAGTTATTTTGTAAATGAAAATCAGGGTACAGAATTTATGAGCGGCAGTCTATGCCAGAACTCCCATTTCCTTATTTTCATGCAGTCCAATACCCATTATCACATGAGAAGAAAGGTAAGGGGTTGGGTTCAAATTTATGCCCGTTTGGCCCTCTGATAATCTTTGCAGCCCTGACTGGCCTGGAACTCGGAGGTGTAGACCAGGCCGTCCCGGAACTCACAGATCCTCCCTCCTCTGCCTCCGTAGTGCTGGGATTAAAGGCGTGCACCACCACGCCTGAGGCTCTTCGGTAATCTTACCCGTAAAAATGGAGACAATCTCTACCTCTTAGGGTTTCTCTGAAAACAATTAGTGCATGTCATTCTGGAGTCGTACACCCCCCCAAAATGTTTCTTGGAGTGTTTTACATCATTTGACGAGGAAGTGGGTGGAACTGCTCTCGAAGGAAACCTAAAGCCCCTTCCTGTCCAGTCCGATCTTCTACCCGCTGCGTAAGGGTGAGGAAGCAGCAGCCTGGAGGACACGCAGGAGCTCGGAGCCGCGGGCGAACCAAACGCGCTGAGGTGGGAAAATCTCAGGCTCCGGCGAGCCGCCCGGTGGCCCGCCTACCCGGGGCGGGGATTCTGACAGACAGCTCATCTAGCCACTCGAGCTGCGTATTTTCTTTGGTTGGGTAGTAGGCCTTGACCAATAGATGCACAGCACTGTAGGAGGCGTGGCCAATCAGCGGCCAGGAGCTCCCGGCCGCCTTCCGAGAGGCTCCAGCTGCTGAGGGCGAGCTGCGCGGCCGAGGTAAGATGGCGCCGCGTCTCGCGTTTCGCCTTCCCGGTTAGGCTGCCCGCTTGGCCTGTCTGTAACCTCAGAACAGCGCATGGCTTCAGAGCCGCGGCGTTGGCGGCCCTTTCCTTTCCGCAGGCTTTCGGGAACCAGGGTCTCTGGTGCTGGGGCCCTGGGACAAGATGGCGCTCGCAGGGCGGCCGAGGCGCTGCGGGCCCGAGCCGTGAGCGCCTAGGCGGCCCGGGACAAAGGCGGCGTGGAGGACGTGGGGGCGGGGCCGCCGTTTGCGGGCGCTGCGTGGGTCGGGCGCTGCGCTTCCGGTCCGCTGCGGCCTGGCGCGGGCGGCGCGGTAGGGGCGGGAGTGGCGGGAGAAGTGAAGGGTGGGTCCGGGGTTCGTGAGGACGCCTGGAGCACTGCGGGAGGTCGGAGCGTTCCTGGCTCCGCCAAAAGTCAGGGAAAGACTTTAGGTCCTTTTTCCCCCCGCCTCTTCCCCCGCGCCAGGTTTTGGAATGAACAGGATTCGGATCCACGTCTTGCCGACGAATCGGGGGAGGATCACCCCAGTGCCCAGGACTCAGGAGCCCCTTGCTTGTTCGTTCACTCATCGCACATGCTCCCAACCCCGGCTGGAGGGCCAGGAGTTTTGCATTAAGCATATCCTTGAAGACAAGAATGCGCCCTTCAAGCAGTGTAGTTATGTCTCGACGAAGAATGGAAAAAGATGTCCCAGTGCCGCCCCAAAGCCCGAGAAGAAAGATGGGTAAATATATGCTGACGTTTGTGTATGTATATGCCTTTAGTCCTTTTTTAACAATTCGGTTTTTAACGCTGAGTTTTGAACCCAGGGACCCGTGGATGCTAAGCACAGCTTGTGCCATTGAGCGTGTTGCACCCCCCCCCCAAACCTTTAGGTTTATGTTACTCATTACATTAAAAAAATTCGTTTGTGTGCGTGTGTGTGTGTGTGTGTGTGTGTGTGTGCGCGCGCGCGCGCACGCGCGCACCTAGTAGGTGCTCTCCTATTACAGCACATGTCGGGAGGCCTGAGGTTCTGTCACACTGGGTCCCTGGAATGGAGGTCAGGTGGTCAGGCTTGGTGACTTGCAGGCCCCTACCCCTCCTTTTTTTGGACAGGGATGGAACTAGCAGTCTAGACCAGGCTGGCTTCGAACTCTTGGCAACCATTTGCCTTTAGAGTGGGTCGATTGTCGGTGTGGACCCTTCCCTGCTTCTTGACTGTAGCTTTAAAGTTAAAAAGGGGCATATGGTATGTAGGTTTGGGCATAGCTGCCAAGTTTTAGATCATGTGTTTGTAAAACTGGGATTAAGGATAATTTGGGGGGAGAGGGAAATCACAGAGCATCAACGGTGAAACTGGAAGGACACCTGAGTTGGGTCATTTACTTGATCACTTCGATTGTTCCCTTATCTGTAAAATGAAGGGGTGTTCTAAATTACCTGTTTTCTCTCTTTTTGAGAACAGGCTTTGCTGTGTGGCACAGACTAGTCTTAAACTCCCAGCCCTCCTTCAGTTCTGGAGTTCTGGAATTACTGTCTGCATCACCGTCTTCGGCTCTAAATTCTAGTTTTTCTTAAACATTTATTTAGTATATGTGTGGGTATGTGTGCCAGAATGGGAATGTGGACGTTAGAGGACAACTCTGGAGTTAGCTTTTTCCTTCTACCATGTGGGTCTGGATGGAACTCAAGTTGTCAGGCTTTGGTAGAAGTGCCTTTTCTTGCTGAGTCATCTTACCAGCCCTCTAAATTATTCTTAATGTAGGGGTGCTGACTCACTTGGCTGGCCATGTTTCTTGTTAACTAATAGACTCAATTTGTATATTTGTGTTTTAGAAGAGACTTCATAGCTTTTATCATAATATGTAGTTAACTATGCAAAAATAGCTTTTCTAGATAGTTTTGTATTTATCTTCCAATTTAAAAATTGTGTACCACATCTGTCTATAGTGGATTGATAATAAATGTGCCTTCCAGAATTAATGTGGAAAAATGAAAGTATCTCTTGATTTTCCTGTGAGATACTGTTAACATTTTTATGTTTGGAATGTTCTGTTTGATGGCTAGAACACTGGTTAAGCTCCCCGAATTTCCCTTAATTAACATCAGATGTGGGCTGTCGCTTGGTGTTAGAGCCCTTCCACGTGGGGGCCCTGGGTTTGGCTTCCAGCAACACAAATCCACACCACACTACACCAAAGTTTCCCTGATTCACTGGTCTTTTAGGAGTGAATAGAATAGTCCTTTTAATTTCCTAGCAATGGAAGATCAGTGACTAAAGATTGTTGAACCCTTTCAAAAAAGAACCTATAAAATACTAATATTTGTCTCTTTAGGGTGTCCTTCTGTGCTGAACATGCCCGTAGGAATGCCCTAGCTCTTCATGCTCAAATGAAGAAGAACAACCCAGGGCTTATGGGTGAAACACTCTTGTGCCAGTTGAGTTCCTATGCTAAGACAGAGCTGGGCTCTCAAACTCCAGAAAGTAGTCGCAGTGAAGCCAGCCGAATACTGGGTAAGGATCTTCTCTCTCAGAATAAAAAAGGAAAAAGTTAAGAATGAACTTAGTTTTGATTTAGTGCATTGCCTTGAACATATGTGGCAACTACTATTGTTTATTTATTGGGAATTCGGTTGCTTTTGCTGTTGACTAGTTTTTTTTTGAATTTAGAATTTGCTTAGATTTATTCTGATATGGTGACTTTTCTATTAATTTTATGGTTTCGGGTTGGTCTTTTAAGTACTCTGGCTTTATTGGTGGAGTTACAGAGGTGGGAAGTCTTAATGGCTGCTCTCCCCCTTCCTTGCCTCAGATGAAGACAGCTGGAGTGATGGGGACCAGGAACCCATTACTGTGGATCAGACATGGAGAGGTGACCCTGACAGTGAAGCTGATAGCATAGACAGTGATCAAGAAGATCCCCTAAAGTAAGTTGTAGCTCCACATAAGGCTTTTGAATATTTTATGTAGTTAGTATGTAGAATGTAGCATGATATGTGGTTAATGAATAAATAAACCTAGGTGGGTTTAAGCGTCAAGGTTCAATAACATCTTGCTTCAAGGCAAGATCTGATACTTTTGTAGAAGTCTTGTAACTTAGGAAAAGTTTTGAACATTAAATCCTGCCCATGAGAAATTGTAGGGGAGAAAGAGTTCTCGGACCCAGGAATGGGAGGGAGACATACAAATGTGTCAGCTGGTACAGAAAGGAAGTGGATGTGAGTGCTTGTCCTAAATCTCAGGAATACTGAGGTAATTGTGCTTGAATACGAACTGCAAAAGTCCATGTTTCTGGCTTTTTAAAATGGAAATAAAAGTGTCCACTAGTTTTTGATTTCATGTCTAATGAAGGGGACATTAATTTAGAAACCTAGAAGTGAAATTATCTTCATTAACCCATGGTCATTTTAAGAGTTGTAGAAACATCACATGTCGGCACCACAGAAATCTATTTCTATGCCATGCTTTGGTTTTTATTTTTATTTTTTATTGTGCCAGGTATTGAACCCAAGGTATTGTATACTCGGCAAATGCTCTCCTGGTGAGTTGCAATCCCAGCCCTAGGATGCCCCCCACCCCATATCTTGGTTTTATTTATTATTATTTTTTTAATTAGTTTTTTTCATTTTATGTGTATGTGTGTGTTGCCTGCATGTAGGTCAGTGCACCCGTGTTGTGCAATGCCCGTGGAGGTCAGAAGAGGCTGTTGGATCCTCTGGGACTGGAGTTATGGACAGTTGTTAGCTGCCATGTGGGTGCCGGGATTCGAATCCGGGTCTTCTGCAAGAACAACCAGTGTTCTTAACTGCTGAGCCATCTCTCCAGCCCCATATCTTGGTTTTAACACTTTTATTTCTTTGTATTTCCTGAAATGGCCGTTTTTATTTTTATTTTTTTTTTAAATATTATAAAAGTGTCATTTAGGTTTACATTTTTGGGAGACATTTTGCCCATTACTGAGCTCTCAGTAGCCAGCTCTTCAGGAAGTAGTTTAGAGAGTCACTTGAATGGGCGTATGTGCTGTCTTGCAGGATTCTCTTGGAGTAATAACTAATACTAAACACACTCACTCCTTTTCTTCTCTGTTACGGTTCTAGATGGCTAAACTTGAGGCTTTGATGTGTGTTCTGTAGGGTCACTGATTTTTGGTGTAATAAACACTGAGCTTTGAAGGCTTAGAAAATTGATTTTGTAGTCTAGAGTAGGTCAGACTATAATCAGCACATTCACGTTAATCTAATTCAACAGATTATTGTATACTAAAATGTCAGTTTTAGGAGATATATATGCTAAAGACTGGTTGATGTTAGTCTCTCCTAGTAGAAACATACTTAAAAGATGTAAGTTAAGCCCAGAATGTTCTCAGCTGTCAACTAAGTATAAGGTTTCCTTAATTTTCCAACGAAATGATCTTCCCCTAAAATATTGGTCTGGTAAATATATGTGTTTTTAGGGATATAAAGTTATATGCGCCTTATATTTAATTTTAGTATGGTTATACATTTATCTTATTTACTAATGCTCTAGTTTAATAGTTAGCAAGTGAAATTCCTGCCAGTAAGAATTAATCACATTATTAGGTGGGCACGGTGAGAGCAGCCTGTAATCTGAGCACTAGGTAGGTTTAGACAGGAGGGTGGTGAGTTTCAGACCACCTGGACTATGTATTAAGACCGTGACTCAGAAAAACAAAAAACTAGAAGTTAGTAGTATAGTTGTTCAGACCAGAACTTGGGAGGCAGGCGGATCTCTGTGAGTTCCAGGCCGGCCGGAGTTACAGGGAGACCCTGCCTCAAAAAAGAGAGAAGGTAAAACAAAACAGTTTGCCTTTTTTGTTGTCAGTGTCTTTGCTTTCTCTAGTACCAATTTTTGAATCATCTTGACAGTAAAACAGCCTTAATCTTCATTTATACGTTGTAGAAAGGTCACTTATGTTGTCAGTATTAGTGGAGACATGATCATAACCAGAATTGTTTTCACCCTGTATATACGTGATTCCTGCTCACTTAGTTGCTTTGTAAACCTTGATTTCATGTCCAAAGCTTGTTTCAATGTTTGTGAAGTCTTAGCCAAAGGATAATTGTTAAGTATTGTTCCCCCCTTTTTGACAGTCTCCCTAGTTCCAGCCCACCTAGACCAGGCTGGCTGCCAACTCGCAGCGATCCTTCTGCCTCCCGAGGGCTGGCACTGAAGGCATGCATCGCTGTTCCTGGCTTTGTTCCCCTTACGGGGCTTCACAGTTACAAATTCTGTTCTCTGTGCCATGGCCAATGGCCAATGCTAGGGCAGTGAAGAGGGTTCAGTCTTGCTGTGCAGCCTTTCCTCTTTAGCCTCACGAGTTCTGGGATTATAGGCATGGCCACCACACCTGGTTTAATTCCATGTTAATATACTTGTTACTATGTTAATGCCTCATTGTTCTAGGGTTGCTGACAGGCTAATGCAGATATAGCTCATTTCACAGAGATCTACCTGTCTGCCTCTGGGATTAAAGGTGTGCAACACACCTATAAGTACACTCCTTTTAGACCTTCAAACACTAGCTGTAGGCTGGGGGTCTATAGCTCAATTGTAGAATATTCGTAGGTTGCTTGCATAATATTATATATCCAAGACTCTGGTGTCCTGAGTGGGTCCGTCCGTGTCCCCCCCCCCCAGTCACATAGTAGGCTCATTTTCATTTTCTCAACAATATTCTCAAACTTCAGTTCCTGGATTGATAATTAATTGCCAAAAAATCTAAAATCTAGCAGGGGTCCGCATCAATTTTATTAGTTTGGCTACCAGCTACAAATTTATAGAACTTGACAGATTGATGTCAGGATTGTTTCCTGTTCCTAATTTAATTACTCAGCATTGAGAGATTAACTTTGAATTTAAATAATTTTAGGTTCAATTTATCTGAGTAAAACTCAGCTCCTGCTGGGCGTGGTGGCACACACCTTTAATCCCAGCATTCAGGAGGCAGAGACAGGTGGATCTCTGTGAGTTCAAGGTCAGCCTGGTCTACATAGTGAATCCAGGTCAGCCTGTAGCTAAGGGAGACCCTGTCTCAAAAAGACCGAAAAATGAAACCCCCAAAACTTAGCTCCTTTAAGAGGTAATACACACAAATTGTATAGCCAAATTAATATTAAATCCAAAACCTCATGCCTTTCAAAATCAGCCACAGGATAGGAGTGGCGCTATATTAACAGCACTTAGGAGGCAGACAAGCAAATCTTTTTTTTGAGTTAGTCTCATGTAACCTAGACTGGCCTCAGACTTGCCACATAGTCGAGGCAGGCCTTGAACTCCTGATCCTCTTGCCTCCAACTCCCAAGTACTTGGATTATAGGCATATGTCACCATTCTCAGCTTTAAAAAAAATCTTATGGGGCTGGAGAGATGGCTCAGCAGTTAAGAGCACTGACTGCTCTCACAGAGGACCCGGGTTCGATTCCCAGTACCCACATGGCAGGTGTGAACTGTCCTTGGCTCCAGTTCCAGAGGAATCCGAAGCCCTCTTCTGACCTCAGGCATTGCACGACAGGGGCGCTCATGTACATGCAGGCAATACACACACAAAATAAAAATAATAAATGAAATATAAAAAAATATATATGTTATTTATTATCTTTGGTAGATGAGTGTATTGCCTGCATGTATGTAAGTGTACCCATGTTGTGCAGTGCCTGCAGAGGTCAGGAGGTGTTGGGTTCTCCTGGAACTGGAGTTATGGACAGTTGCTCTCTGCCATGTGGGTTCTGGGAATGGAACCCGGGTCCTCTACAAGAGCAGTCAGTGCTCTTAACTGCTGAGCCATCTCTCCAGCCCTCATTCTCAGCTTTTTACTGCTTTTGTAATGCTTGCCAAATTCATTGTTCTGTTCCAGGCATGCTGGTGTCTACACAGCTGAAGAAGTAGCTCTTATTATGCGTGAGAAGCTAATTCGTTTGCAGTCTTTGTACATTGATCAGTTTAAGAGACTACAGCACCTGCTCAAGGAGAAGAAGCGCCGTTACTTACATAATCGAAGAGTGGAACATGAAGCGCTAGGTAAGTTTGGTGTAACTGAGTTTGCCTGTCTTACAGCCAGAGATTTCCTGTTCACGTCTTCATTTGGAAACGTATCCTTGATGGATTGCTCTTCGGATTACACCTCGACTTCTGTAACTGTTGGTGGTGGGGAATGTCTAATTTCAGTACTTTAAGTACTTGAGAAGCTGAGGTGGGGAGTTTACTGTTAGTTCAAGGCCAGCTTGGGCCACTGACTCAAAAAAATTTTGTGACTCTAGGTAGTAGTCTCCTGACTGGCCCAGAGGGTCTTTTGGCCAAAGAAAGAGAGAACTTAAAGCGACTAAAATGTCTTCGGCGATACCGCCAGCGCTATGGAGTAGAAGCATTATTACACAGGCAGCTGAAGGAGCGGAGAATGCTGGCCACAGATGGTGCCGCCCAACAGGTAATTTGTTTATATGCCTCTGGTTGCATGCATTCATTTTATTGCTTGGGTTATTATCAAACATGATGTCTAGTCCTGGACTATACTTCTCATGAAAGCCCTTAACCTGGATGTCAGGAGACACTGGTTCTGGTCTTTGTCCTCTACTGACCAGCCCCATGTCTTCACAAACAGCTTAACTTCCCTGGATCTCAGTATTCAAAAGTTCTTTGGTTCAGGGAGTCCTCAATTTAGAAATAGACAAAAGTTGAGCCTATGGTTTGGGAATCTTGCTCAAAAAAGAACTGGGCATGGTGTTGCATGCTTGTAATCTCAGCTCTTGATGGGAAGATCAAGTGGATTACAAGTTTGAAACCAGCACCCACATGGTGGCTAACAACTGTAGGTAATTCCCGTTCCAGAGGATCTGACAGCCTCTTCTGTCCTCCGAGGGCATTGTAGCACACAGGTGCACTTAACTACATGCAGCCAGTACACACATACACATAAAATAAAAATTATAAGATATTTAAAGATAAATAAATATATGAGCTGGACATGGTGGTGCATGCCTTTAATCCGAGCACTCGGGAGGCAGAGGCAGGCAGATCTCTGTGAGTTCAAGGCCAGCCTGATTAACATAGTGAGTTCCAGGACAGCTGGGGCTACAGGGAGACCCTGTCTCAAAAACCAACTCCCCTGCCCCACCTTGACACCCCCCCATCTCAAAAAAAAAAACAAAAATCACACACATATACACACATGCTAGGGAACAAATCCATGATTACACATACATGCTCTAACACCAAGCTACATCCCCAATTCAGTGCTTTTAACAGTTGAGCCATCTCTCCAGCCCCTTGGGTCTTCAGTCCATGAGATAGTGTTGACCATATTCAGGGTGGGCCTTTCCTCCTTAGTCCTCTTTGGAAATACCCTCACTAATCTAAGAGATTTCTTTTGTTTAATCAGGTTGACAATCCACATTAACCATTACAGGTTGCAATTTCAAAAATAGTTTTTTTTTTTTTTTTTGTTGGCTGAGCCTGGTGGTACAGGTCTAATCTTAGTAACCAGGGGCTGAGGCAGGATTACAGGTTCAGGGCGTTTCTGGACTACAGAATGAGTTCAAGGCCAGCCTGGGCAATTTAGAAAAACCTGTCTCCAAATACAATGAGGGCTAAGAACATAACTCAGCTGTAGAACACTTGCTTATCATGTTTGAGGCCCTGGGTCTAGTCAGCATCATTACATATGCACATGCACACACCCAAAATTTGTTGCTAAAAGACTAATTTGGGGGCTGGAGAGATGGCTTAGTGGTTAAAAGCATTGATTGCTCTTGCAGAAGACCTAAGTTCAATTTCCAGCACCTACATGGTGGCTAACAACCATCCATAAGTCCAGTTCCAGGGAATCCGACACCTTTCGACCTCCACAGGCATTGTACAACGTAGGTACACTTACACTCATGCAGGCGATACACTCATACACAAAAAAATTTAAAAAAAAAAAGACTAGTTGGACTGATATGTCTTCTGCAAGAACAACCAGTGCTCTTAACTGTTGACCCATCTCTCCAGTCCAATGTTGTGGGGTTTTTCTTTTTTTTTTGAGATAGGGTATCACTATGTACTCCTGGCTGGCCTGGAATTCACTAGGTAAAGACCAGCTGGCCTTGAACTCAAAGTTCTGCCTGCCTTTTACCTCTGTTGGGATTAAAGACTTGTGTCACCCTACCTGGCTTAAAAAATTATTTTGAAAATGTATAGCATATACAGTAGTCCCTCCTTATCTGAGGAATATTTCTAATATTCCCCAGTGAAGGCCTGAAAGTAGGTATTATCAAATCTTAATATAGTCCATGTTTTATTCCTATATGTACCTATGGTGAAGTTTAATTTCATAATTAGAAATAATAGGAGTAAAAAAACAGCATTTGTAGGAATAGAAAAGCGATTTAAAACTTAGAAATTGTTTATTCCTATAATTTTCTATTAGATATTATTTCAAGCCTAGGTCGACTGCAGGTAGTTGAAACCTAGTTAAGGGCAGAGTACTATATCTAAGTTGTATAATATGTAGAAATGTATTTGGGATTAAGATTAACTCATTTCTTGATACCTAAAATTTTAACGTTACTTTGTATAATATTGGTTTAGTTAAGTTGAATTTTCTGTCTTGTATGAATGCATTTCCTTATATAACCATCATTATAGTTGGTTGTATGTGCTTTTGTGGGTTTATTGTCTGTTTTATCTGTTTTCTCAATTTTAGGCCCATACCACTCGTTCCAGTCAGAGGTGCTTAGCTTTTGTGGATGATGTACGTTGTTCCAATCAGTCTCTTCCAATGACCAGACACTGCCTTACCCGTATCTTTTTAAAATTGCTTGTTTGCATGCTGGTTTTCTAGTTAAGACATAGGGTAGTGGGAATCTGTGCTAATTGTTTAAAGATTTTATTTAGTTTGGCCCTGAATCAAGGCCAACAGTTTGTTGAAGCTGTTGGTTTCAAGCAGGTGCCTAAAGAAACGTCTTTCTCTGGTCTGTTGGCCATTTCAGAAATTTGGAAATGTAATGGTCAATTCATTAGAAAGAAACATATGGCTGGGCATGGTGGTCCAGCATTGTGATCCTAGCACTTGGGAGGCACAGGTAAGTGATTGAGAGTTTGAGGCCAGCTTGGTCTACACAGCAAAATCTGTCTCAAGGGGGAAAGGGGGTTGAGCCAAAGAAACAGCTGAGTCATGGGTAATAGATGTTGACTGATAGTTGTTTAAAGTCTTAATGGGATTCCAAAATATCCATATAATACTTCTATATTACCGAGTTAACTTGTTCATTGTTAATATTAAATCTGTTATATCCTTTTGTGTGGTTAGTATCCTAACCTGTATATTAAATGGTTATATATTTTAACTTGTTATATAATGGGCCTTTTGGTGTAGGGCTACATTTGCCATTGGGCTATATAACTTGTTATGTTGTTTATTAAGTCTTGAAAGTGCTTCTTTATTAATATAGGCATTGAGGAAATTAACATTTAAAAATTAAAAAAAAAATATTTATTTTTATTTTATGTGTATGAGTTTATTGCCTGCATGTATGTGAATGCACCCGTGTAGTGCAGTGCCATGGAGGTCAGAAGAGGTCTTTGGATTGCCCTGGAACTGGATGGAGTTAAGGATGGTTCGTAGCCGCCATGTGGGTCTGGGAATCAAGTCCGGGTCCTCTGCAAGGGCAATCAGTGCTCTTAACGACCGAGCCATCTCTCCAGCCCTGAGAAAATTAACATTTTTACAGTAGAAACATTGGTTAAATATGTTCTTTATGTGATAAGTATAGATTTTGTTAGATTTCATTTCCCAAACATTTTAGAAGTCAAAATACATTTCTTAGTTTTGTGTGTATCTTACTCATGTAGTCCCAGCTTCTTGAGAGACTGAGGGTCACTTGAACCCAGGAGGTCTAGGCCAGTCTGGATAACATAGTGAAGACAGACTTAAAGTAATAGAAGAATGACAACCTCTTTTTAGTCTTTGGCAGGAAAGGAAAGGTTCCCCCCCCAATTCAGTTTATTTAAAATACAAGTTTATTGTGGCTATAAAAATGGCTCAGCTGTTAAGAGCACTGGCTACTCTTGGCAGAGGACCCAGGTTCAATTTCCAGCATTCACATTGTGGCTAACAACTGTCTGTAACTCCAGTTCCAGGGGATCTGATGCCCTCTTACCTCTCTGGGCATTGCATGACACAGGTGCATTTACACACATACAAGCAATACACTAATACACAAAAATAATAAATATTAAAAAATATGTTTATTGATTACAATTATATCCGATAAAGGATTTTTTTAAAATTTAATTTTTGTCTTTTGAGACATGGTCTCACTGTGTGGCCTAGCCTGGCCTTGAACTCATGATTCTCCTGCCTTAGATTCTCAGTACTGGGATTACAGGTGTATAGTACCACACCTGGGTTTAGATTATTGTTGTTAGTATACAAAATGCTTATCCAAAGTAATAAGATGCTCTAAAGATGAATGCTTAAAATATAATTGGGCTATGGGGCTGGAGAGATGGCTCAGCGGTTAAGAGCACTGACTGCTCTTGTAGAGGACTCAGGTTCGATTCCCAGCACTCACATGCTGGCTATGAACCATCCTTAATTCCAGTTCCAGGGAAATCTGAAGCACAACATGGGTGCACTCACATACATGCAGGCAATACACTCCTCATACGCATAAAATAAAAGTAATAAATTAAAAAAATACATATATATTTGGGCTAATGGTAAAAAGTTATCTGTGCTGGGCAGGCAGCACATGGACAGTGCATGACCAGCTCAGATTGGGCCAGGGGAACATGCACATAGCAGGGGACCTCTAACTGGCTTATTAATAAAATTACCTCAGTCTGTCCAGTTAATGTCATAAGTTATAACCACTCCCCACATTAGCAGTTCAACAGAAACCCTATCTTTGGGCCCCTCCCATATGGGAGTTCAAGGCAACCCCTGTTTCCCCATTTGCCCTCCTTCCATTATAATAAGCTCTGCTAGCTTATTTTCTAATAATTCTAAATCTTCTTTCTTTAAGCTTTCTTTCTACAATAAAAATTCCTATTTAAATCTAAAAAAAAGTTATCTGTGGACAGATTTAAAAGAGAAGTTGCCAATAGTTGGAAAGTGCTTATCTTACTCTAAATAAATGAAGTAAAAGGTAATTTAAAATCTGTACTTTTTGAACATTGTAAAATAAAAATCTGTTATTTATTCGAGAACTTGAGAAGTAGGTAAGGTTGTCAGGTGTGGTGGCACATACCTTTAATCCCAGCACTTGGGAGGCAAAGGTAGGTGGATTGAACTCTAATTTCCAGGCTAGCCTGGTTTACAGCTTAGTGAATTCTAGGCCAGCTGGGGCTTCATAGTGAGACCTTGTCTCCAAAAGAAAGTAGGTAAGGTTGTGTTAAAACAGGCTTCTAAACATTTAGTGAAACACGTTGAAAAAATTTGTGTTCTTTCGTAAGATAATTTTACCTCTTTGAATTTAAGATAATGAAATTTAGTATTTACCAAAAAAAACCCCCCAAAACAAAACACAAAACCTCAAAACCCAAAAAGCAAAACCCACGTTGTATTTGGAGAAAGCCTTAAAATAATAAAAGAGGACTGGAGTGATGACTCGGGTTAAGGACACTGGCTGCTGTTGCAGGGAACCTGGGTCAGGTCCCAGTACCCACATAGCAGAAAACAGCCATGCATAACTCCAGTTTCAGGGAACCTGACGCCCTCTTCTGGCCTCTGTAGGTATTGATGGCACATGTGGTATACCTCATAAATGCAGACAAAATATTCATACACATAAAATAAAAAAGTGTTCCAAAGATAGGGAAGTAAATTAAGGGCTGACACCTTGTGTAGTCTCTTCTAACATCACATATTTAACAAAAACTAGGAATGAGGAAAGTGGTGGAGATAATATGTAGGGTGAGGGACTCTGTAGATTACGTTAAGAGAAAAGTGATTACTTTTGCTTGATAGAATATGAATACCATTTCTTTACTACATGAAAACAAGATATAAGAAAGACTGTTACTGTTTTTTTTTTTTTTTTGAAAGAAGAACTTTAGTAAAGAAAATAACCCTAGGACTATTTTAGACATTCTTACTTGAACTTAGTTTGTTAGAACTGAATGTTTTTAGAAGCAAACTTGAAGCTGCAATGCATTTAAAGAGGGAAGTATTTTTGCCTCCTGTGCTCTTTTCTTTTTTATGCCATAGTTAAGTCACTTACCTTTCCTTAAGTCCTCACCCCAGAGAAAGAAAGATACGACAGCACTGCTGACCTGTTAGCTCTTTACTGTGATTTAATGGAGACTGCACTGGACTGAGAGTGAGGGACCCAGATTCTAGTTGTAGGTCAACCATTCCCTTTTATCTCTTGTCCCTATCTTGAAGGAGAGGTCTGAAGAAGGATGGGTGGAGGGCGTTCTAACTGTTTTGGTATTAAATAAGAGACCTTTGTGAGAGTCTTTTGATATTCAAGTTAAAGGATTAAAGTTTTAAATATTTAAATGAGATAAAGTTACTGAGCATAGTAGGTAGTGCTTAGATTTTTTTTTAAGTATGTAGTCCAAATATGGATGTTCCTATTGGGTTAATGTTATTTGTAAGTATTTTCTTTGACCGGTCAATGACTAGTTAGTTCCTATGATCTGTTGTTTCAGAGGTTTTTTTGTTAACTTGGAAGTATAGACCTTTTCTACTTCTACCATTAATAAATTATCGTAGAGCTGTAGAATGTTTCTGAAATAAGCCAAAATTTACCTTACCAGACTCCTATACTCCTATCCTCCTTTAAAAAGGAAAAAAATGGGGCTGGAGTTAAGAGCACTGGCTGTTTTTGCAGAAGCCCTGGGTTCCAGTCCCAGCCCCCACATGATGACTAAGAACTGTCCATGGCTCCAGTTTCAGGGGATCCAACATCCTCTTCTGTTCTCTGTGGGTGCTACATGACATGGGTGAACTTAGATGCATAAGATAAAAACAAATTAACAGTTTCTATGCTTTTTTAAATTTGTTTTCCTATTAGGATGATATCTAGTGAATATTTACTAATTTTTTTACCTCAAGGTTGTATGGTGTCAAAGGAATTTATCATGTTACTAGAAACAATATGTAAAAGTTTGTGCAAACTAAGGCAGTCTTGTTTATCAGCAGAAACTGCAGCGTATCTCTTGACTTGGAAGGGTGTTTGTGGCTCTAAGCTCTTTGTGTTTGCTACCACATGTTTTTTCTCTTTGGGTGTATGTGCCTTGGCTTGTTATTGCTGCTTACTTAGCACAGTCAGGGAGAACAGTATTAGTATTCCCAGCTTAAAGGACCAGAATCCTGGAAAGGAAGCTGAGGATTAATTACAAATTATGGGTAGTAGAGTTAAAACTGGGTGCTAAGAGAAGACACTTGCTTTGAGAAGTAACTTTAAAAGTTGCTCACTGCATTTGGCTTTCTGTATCAGATGTAACAGGGATTGTCTGAGTTTTGCATGTCAGGCAGCTCTTGTATGGTGTACCTTTAAGGATCTGGGTTTATTTCCCTTAACTCTTTTCTACAGATATTTGTCAGGATACGAATCAGGTTCTCTTCAAATGCTGCCAGGGATCTGAAGAGGTACCCTGCAACAAACCAGTTCCTGTAAGCCTCTCTGAGGATCCCTGCTGTCCCCTGCATTTCCAGTTGCCTCCTCAGATGTATAAGCCCGAGCAGGTACTGTCTGTGCCAGACGATCTGGAAGCCGGCCCCATGGATCTGTACTTGAGTGCTGCCGAGCTTCAGCCCACTGAGAGTTTACCACTGGAGTTCAGTGATGTAAGTTAGAGAAGCTCTGCTCTGATTGGCCCTGAGAGAAGGCCCTATTTACTAATGGTGAGAATAGCTGGTTTTTTTTTGTAGTTGAGAGAATTGATAAGGTTTTGTATAGCTGTATTTGTTACTATATTTATTAGAGACTCTCTGCCCTATCTTACTTGTTTTCCAGGTTGTTCTTTTGTTTTTTGTTTTGAGATGGGGCCTCACCATGTAGCCTAGGCTGGCCTGGAACTCGCTGCAATAGCCCGAGCTGACTTTGGACTCATTCTTGTGTCTCCATCTCTTGAGTGGTGGGATTATAGGCATGTACAATCCAAGCCTGGCCTCCATTCATACTTTGGGATATAATTTGTATGTCATAAACTTCATTTTGAAAGTGTATGGTTCTTATATAAGCAGGTTTTTTTTGTTTTTGAGTGTGTGTATGTTTTTTGGGTATTGGTTTGTGTTTGTTTTGAGACAAGGCCTTACTATGTAGTCTGGAACTCTGTATATAACCCCAGACTGGCCTCTACTTAGAGCTCCTCTTCCAGAGTGCTGATATTAAAGGCATATACCACCATGCCCAGCTTGCACAATGCAGTTTGAGGTGTAGTAGATTCTTATTTTTGTTTATGAGTGTATTGCCTGCATGTGTATAACTACGCCCATGTTGTGCAGTGCCCGTGGAGGTGAGAAGAGGGCGTCAGATCCCCCTGGAACTGGAGTTACAGATGGTTGTTAGCTACCATGTAGGTGCTGGGAATGAAACGGTCCTCTGTGAGAGCAGCCAGTGCTTTTGACTGTTGAGCCATCTCTCTAGCCCCCTTCAGTATAGTAGATTCTTTAACTGTAGTCTTCTAATTATGAAAAGATTATGATTTAAAAAAAAATTTATTTATTATTTTATGTGTATGAGTGTATTTTCTGCATGTATGTGAGTGCACCCATGTTGTGCAATGCCTTGGAGATCAGAAGAGGGCTTCAGAGTACCCTGGAACTGGAGTTATGGACAGTTGTTAGTTGCCATGTGGGTGCTGGGATTCAAGCCCGGGTCTACTGCAAGAACAGTCAGTGCTCTTAACCGCTGAGCCATCTCTCCAGCCCCAAGGGAGAGCAGATCTTTTTTTAGAGACAGGGTCTCCCTGTAGCCCCAGCTGTCCTGGAACTCATTGTGTAGACCAGGCTGGCCTTGAACTCACAGAGATCTGCCTGCCTCTGCCTCCCAAGTGCTGGGACTACAGGTGTGCGCCACCACGCCCAGCTTCCTATAATCTTTTTATTAGTGCATAATAATTGTGTAAACTATGGTCTCACTGTGACGTCTTCATAGCTGCATGTATAATGTTGCGGTCGTACGCGTTCCCCTTGTTGACCTCTTGTCCCTTTTCCTTCCCACTGGCTCATGTTCCTTTTCTTCATATGGAAACTGCAAATTCTTAGACTTACTGAAAAGCTTAAGACTAAGCATCTCATAAAGCTAGATTGTTAGAAACAGCTTCTTATGTAGTAGATTTGATTCTTGGGAAGGAGAATTTAGTACTAGACTCCTAGAAGTGGATGAAACTTTAGTTGTATTATTTGAAACTTTGTGGTGACTTAAACACCCTAAATCAAGATCAGTATTTGCTGTAGCTGTTGGTTTCAGACAGGAGCCAAGAATAATGTCTTCATTGGCCTGTTGGCTAGTCAGCATCTCTGTGGGAATGGCTAATTCATTTGGAAGCATAGTCTAGAATATTTAATATATAAATGTTTATTTATATATATACATTAAAAATTTTTTTTATTATTTTTATGTGAATACGTGTATTGCCTGCATGTAGGTAAGTGTACCCATGTTGTGCAGTGCCCTCGGAGGTCACAAGAGGCTGTCGGATCCCCTGGGACTGGAGTTACGGACAGTTGTTAGCTGCCATGTGGGTGCTGGGATTCGAACCTGGGTCTTTTGCAAGAACAGTCAGTGTTTTTAACCACTGAGTCATCTCTCCAGCCCCCTATATATACATTTTATACACACACACACACACACACACACACACACACACACATATTAATTAAACAGAACTATTAAGGTTAAGAATCAGGCTTGGCTGGGCCAGGTGGCACAGGCCTGAAATGCCAGCTACTTGGGAAGCTGAAGCAGGAGGATCATAATTTCAAGCCTTGCTTGGGCTGCAGGGGTGAGTTCAAGGTTATCCTGGGCAGCTTAGACCCATCTCAAAATAGAAAGTAAAGAGAAAAGGACTTGGGATATAATATAGCTCAGTGGTAAAATGCTTGCTTAGCATGTGAGAGGCCCTAGCTTCAATTCCCTGTCCTCCCTGTCCTCCCAGATCAGGCTTTCCCTAGGGACAGGGATCAAACCAAAATATTTCTTGGCCATTCAGAAGAACTTTCTCCTTTCTCCATGCCCCAGGCTCCATTCTCTCTTGCAGTTGCTTGCTTTATGGGCATTGGTCATTCTCACTGCCTAGCGTTTTTAAGCAGTATTTCATGTTATTTTGCCTGCATGCTGATTGTTCTTAGGATTCTTCATTGAGGAACTTGGATGTTGACTTCAATTATCCTCAGAGGGAGTATGGTTTTTTATTTGAAAACTTCTTTTTATTATACGTGTGTGTGTGTGTGTGTGTGTGTGTGTGTGTGCGCGCGCGCGCGCGCGCGCACCAGTGCACATGTGGAGGTTGGAGGACAGCTTGCAGGAAGCTCATTCTCTTCACTATGTGAGGTCAGGGGATCAAACTCAAGTGATCAGTCTTGGTGGTAAGTACCTTTACTCAGAGTCATCTTAATAGCTTTTTAAGAAAATTAAATTTTTTTTTAACATTTATTTTCTGTGCCTGCACTTATGCACACAGTGGTCAGAGGACCACTTGTGGTAGGTAGTCAATTCTTGCCTTCTGCCATGTGGGTTCTAGGGATCAGTCTCAGGTTATCATACTTAGCAGCAAGTGCCTTTGCTCACTGATCCATATTGCTTGCTCTGATTTTCTTTTTTTCTTTTTTTTGGTCTTTTTGAGACAGGGTCTCCCTGTAGCCCCAGCTGGCCTGGAACTCACTATGTGGGCCAGGCTGGCCTTGAACTCACAGAGATCCACCTGCCTCTGCCTCCCAA